CAGTAGCGACGCCGACGGTGGCGGAAGATAAGGTCGGCCGCAGCCAACGTTACTAAAACACTCAGTTGGGAAACTCGCCGTCGAAACCTGGGCCGCTGGCGTCCACCGAGACCGAGCTAAATGCGACAACAGCGCCACTCTTTATCGTTTGTCTGTACCGTGGTCACCTTGAGCTTTTTGAAAGCCTGTTTTTTGCGTCAAAACATACGGAAAAGACTCTTTTTGTATGAAATTTATTGAAGTTTAGTACCAAATGATGGGCGCGTGATGTTTTTAACATCTTTAGGTTGCAGGGTTTTGCGGCACAATTAATATTGTTTTTATACAACCATGCCTCACCGGTCCTTTCAGGTAGCGCGTCCCGACTTAGGTGCATTTAACTTCGGTAGCTGAACGCGGCGCGTCCGCCGGGGAGGCCGGGGTGGCACCCCTGTAACCTCTACCGCTGTATCTGTTCTTAGAGCCACAATAGAAGTCACGTGCAGTTCCTCGAGTGGCCGCTGCGGGAGATATGGTGGCGTTGTGTTCGTCATTAGCTCGGTGCTCGGAGACAGATTGGGGCCACTTTTTCAAAGCTGTCTCTATGGGAGTTTTCCAACTGAGCGTTTTAGTAACGTTGGCCGCAGCGTACGGCACCGCCATGTTGACAAAGTTTAACTTCGCCTCGATCCGAAGCGAAGATCTCGAGCTCAAACCACGGCTCTCGCAAAGTTCGGAAACGTCACTTTGACGTCAGCGACAACTTCGACAAACGAGGTTTCTTTTTAACACAAACTTTGGAGGGATTTGGAGCGTCAGCCGGTCGCCTAGGGACAATCTGCAAAGCATTAATTTTAGCTTGGCGTAGGGATGTAGGGACAAACGGGCGCTACGTCATCGGCGAAGCCGTTCAATCAGCGGGCTCCTCGCGCCCCTCACGCGCTGCACGCTTGCCTCGATGAACTTCGCTACATTCTGCCACTTTCAAAGAAGTGAGCGTTCGAATGATTGACAGCTCGCTCGGCGCGACGTCAGGGTCGCGAGGATCCAATTAGCGCGTTCCGCAAACTTTGGGCACAAAGTTGTGCTTGACGAGTTTAGCGACCCAGGTATGGACTCCTATTGAAAACCACGCCAGAAGCCTGGCAGATAAGCTCTACGACATTAAGGGAAGGCAGGGAGCAGTAGATAGCGAATACCCGTGTTTCGCCATACCGCGTCTCCCTATTACGTACGCCGCAGCTAAAGTCACCAAATAAGCGACGCTTCAATGTAAGGACGCTTCAGTCATGGGTGGATGCTAACGGTTGTACTCTTTATAACGGGCGGTAGCTTGCGCCACCTAGCCTAGGAATTAAAAACCAAAATTATGATTCCTCCCTTCGCCCTTCTAAGCCAATTTGCTTCCCCTCTGCAATTTCGTAACTATCACCAGGCGGTGTGGAGTGTCACCAGGATGACCTTTGCACCTTGGCAGTGAGCCTTTCAGTTCACTGTCAAGAGTGCCTGTACGAACCGTCTTTTAATACCACCACAATTTTGGGAAAGCAGAGAGAAAAAGTGACACGCGAGGTGCTCAAGGCCAGAGCCGTATATGGGCAGAGTTTGCGCATAGATTGGGAAGTATATGCAGGCAAATAAGGAGGTGCCATTAGTCGAAAGCGGGCTGGGCGTGTTCCATGAGCGTCTTCACAAATTCGAATGCGGCCATGCCGGAAGCTGCGAATAATAGCCTAGCGGCAGTCACGAGAAACAAAATGAATAAGTGCTTCAGGGGGACTCTCGGTGACTGAAAATATGGTGCACGTAATTTTTCAATCACGGTCATGCAAAATACGAATTTATCACGGCGATCGACGTAATCCGTACGCCAGGCGCCGAGGGCCGGGAATCTGCCGTCCAAGCGATCAGACTGCGTCTGAGCAAAACAGAGTTCGAGCGGCACATTCGATTTTTACATCTTTTTGCGTGATCACAATCGAAACATCACGCGCACAATATTTTCAACCATGAAGAGTTACTACATTTAACTCTTACCGCTTATTAAAACTGTTTCTCGCTACCAGAGCTAGGAGATTCTTTTCGGCATCTGGTTGGCCAAGAGAGCATGTCAAGCCCTCTATCTGCGTCTGGTGCACACCCTGGCTCTGTCCGCTCCTCCCATCGACAAAGCTCTCCCTATATACGGCTCACCTCGAGGCATTTTATGTCCGCAATGATGTAAGAAACTGCATTAGCGCAACTAAAGTGGCGTTGTAAGGAGCTGCAATTCCTGTAACTGACAATGAAGGTCCAGCGGGTGCCGCAAAGAATCGATATCATGGTCAGAAGTTGTGCGTGTGGACGCGCGGAACAATGTACGTTTTTTGTTGTTTTTTTATCTCTCAGTAAAAATACATAGTGGCGAGTCAGCCCTCTGTCCTGAATTTCCCTTTGTCACTTCCTTTTGTACCTCTTTGCGCTGCTCTATCGCAGTATGCTTAACTCCTGATGTTAGTTATCCCCATAATGTTACCACTTTAAAGTCCACTATACTTCGTCTCACCTTAGAATGGACGAACCGTGAATGCTGTGCTAGCGCAAGCGGCTAGCCGTAAAAGGGTTATAAATACATCGCTAACAATAACGGAGTAACCTTGACTCACAGAAGAATAAACATTGACACTTTCGCTGACATACTTACGATAACAGCTGTCCAACAATTTGCGTATGCCATCAATAGGGAGTTTTAGAAAAACGTACGCAATTTTAGCGCACGCTAGCGCTAAATTTAGCGCTTGTATTAGCGCCCGCGACGCAAGAGAGTTTTAAAATATGCGTTTCTCCGTCGCGACGCAAAAGCCCAAGCATCTCGCGCTTGCGACGCCACCAAGATAGTCACAATTTTTATTTCACAAACGAAATGCTATAACTTAAGAAAAAAACAAGTTTTTTGGTCCAGAGTATTATTTTAGATTTGTTTAAACGTGAGAATGCGACGCGAGCGGTTGACCGGTTGTGTCCGCTTGCGTCGCCTCGGCAAGAAAGGTCTTGTGTACTGACCTTCGCACATCGTACCTTCGCCGAGAAATCTTCGCGCGTCACAAGCATCAAGCTGTCGGTGATCGTTGTCAAACCGAGTACAATGTCGTCCCGTATTGAAAATCGCAGTCGCGAGGATGCCGCCGACGTCGCACTCACGACGCCGCCACAGCAGCCGCTGACATAATCGTGGAAGCAGCAATTTTAGATGAGGAGCATCTCTTGCTCGGGTCTATGTCCCGCGGCGTCGTAGTCCGCACTCACACTACGCATGCGCAACTCTCCTCCTTCCCTCTCTCCAACAGCTGCGCGTTACTCTCTCCGCTCTCTCTCTCTACCAGCTGCGTGCACTTCGCGTGCGTTCGCTTCTACTCACACCGCGCGCGTATGCGCAACTCTCCTCCTCTAGTCTCCTCTCCTTCAAGTGTGAATATAAGCAGCGGTAGCGCGCTGCGCGCGTTCAGTTCACCCGCTGTTGACTCCACTTCACTCCGTTCTTTCGATGAAGTGTGATGGAAGCAACAGTCGCGTCAGTTAGTGGGTTGACGCAAGCAAGCGCCAGCACCACCCCACAAACTAACAGCAACGCTACGTCCACTAAGACAAAGCTGCGCAGCGAAGGGCACGCGACGCTGAGCGCAAACGCTTGAAGCGAGCGGCAGACCCTGAACTACGGCAACGAGAAGCGGCGGATGCTGAACTACGACAACGTGAAGCAGCGGCAGTTCGAGAACGTCGAGCAGCAGAACCTGAGGTTCGGGACCGTGAAGTTTAACGTAAACGTACGAAGCGAGCGGCGGAACCCGACCTTGGAGAACGGGAAGCCGCGTTGGTTCGTGAACGTCGAGCAGCAGAACCTGAGGTTCGGGACCGTGAAGTTCAACGTAAACGTACGAAGCGAGCGGCGGAACCCGACCTTCGAGAACGGGAAGATGGTGTAACTTTCTTTCGACCCTGCTCGTCTTGGCTTTAGCCAACTTCTCATCACGAATCCTCCTTGGAGAAGCGCAAAGACTTTTAGCGTACGCACGCTATTTCTGAGAAATAGCGCACGCTAAAATTGCGCACGCAAAGCGCAAAATCTGGTTTGCGTTCGGAGCATGCGCAGTGGCGACGACGCTATTTGCGCACGCAAAGCTTTAGCGTGGGCTATTCTAAAACTCCCTATTTTGTGTGTTTGCGTTAGCTTTGCGTGTTCCACACTGCGCGTGCGCCAAGCCAAAAATCGCGGTCTTGGATGGCGCATGGCGATGAAGCACACGCACAACGTGAGGCACGCAACCCTAACGCAAACCGCTTGCGTCTGCTTCTATGCGCAATACTAAAACTCTCCTGTAAAGTACAATCCCATACCGGCTGCGACACTATGTCGGGGCAGTGAAGAGTTGTTTGCATTTGGAAATGACATTTCGCGAGCCAAGATCGCGAGCAGTTCCGCCATACTCGCTAAGCAGGAGAATCGGGGGAGGCCGAGCGTCAAGCTGGAGACGCTATCCATAAGTAAAACGAACTGCTCTTCTCTGGACCATCTCAAGTTTAGATCTTCTTTGCTTTCGGGTCCCAGACTGCCAGCATAATCTAATTTCGATCGAACCAAGGAGTTGTATGGCACATGTGCAAGAAAATATGAGCGTATCAACACAAATGTTTAGACAGTGTATTACAACCCCTTTCTGTATCTTTCTCCCACTGATGTGGAACCCTATAGACCGACACGCTGTTTACAAACAAGCCCGCGTTTGCCCACACCAGGTGTGGGCACTGCGCGTGCGCAGAAACCGAATTTGCGTGAAGTGAGACGTCTGCGCATGCGCTGTGCCGTCGACAGCGCCACCGCAGTTGCGTGACGTCAAGGCCGCGTGTTCTAGTACAATTTCTCCCCTTCCTGCCTCACGGGAGCTCTCCTTTACAAGGATTTCTGTCCTTCATTTTATTACAAGTCCCTGGGCCACATCTGGTTTGCTGTTGTAAAGGTGAGAGGCACATGCACAAAATGACAAGTGCAAAAATATAAATATTTTTTATTCAAAAACAAAATTAACTTTGACGACAATACAAAGTGCTGTAAGGAAACAATGCCACAAACAAGATGACTACTCAAATGTCACAGTAGATGTCCCACTTCCGATATAACAGTGTTGGTGCCTTGTCTTCAGACTAGGCTTTGCGACAGTCCTGGAATAATCTATCAGTTAAACTTTCCAGTCTAAATGGCCACAAAAGTGGAACGCGACATGGCCATATTGTCTTGGTTGAACAAGATTGATGTCCCGACATGAGAACTCTTTGCCAGTGCTCGAAGGTAACCAACCCTATTGGTAAAATTTGGCTGCCATTCTAGGGTTTCATGGTGCTTCTCCCATTCTATGCTTTGGGGACAAGTTTTAGAAGATTGTTGAGATTAAAGCATATGCACAGGAAATATTCAAAATGTTCGATCTCTCCAGCGACACTAAATTTGACAAGAGCTAGGATGCAAGCACATCGCTCATGAAGGGGTTTGTGCTCTTAGGTAGCCAAACCTCTTGCAAAATTGGAGCCAAAGCAAAACTTTGGCTCCAATTCTGAGGCTTTTATGGAGCCTCTTCCCAAGCATTGTTTTCCGCATGCTTTGGTGATATTTTTTTGAAGGTTTGTGAGATCAATGCATACATACAAAAGAATGCTGAAAATGTTAATATCTTTTCAGCAACACTACAAATACGCTTCATTTCAGAAGAGTTAGAATGCAAGCAGATTGTTCATGAAAGGGCTGGTGCTCTAAGGTAGCCCAATCTCTAAGCAAAACTTCAGCTGCAATTCTGAGGCTTTCATGGTGCTCTTCCCAAGTACCATTTTCCATTGTATGCTTTGGTGACAAGTTTTAAGAACATTAGTGAGGTTAGTGCATACTCAAACAGGAATGTTCAAACTGCAGATTTTTCCAGCAATGTTTACGACATGACTCATGCAAAAGTGCTAGAAGTTGAGCTATGGGAGTGACAGTGGCAGTAGTAAGGGAGCGGTTAGCCTGGCACGGGCAGGCATTGCCTGGCTTAAAGCACAAGTGCTTTAAGCAATGTCGCATATGGAGAGAAGCATGTTTTCACCAGGGACACATTCCAGAGCTCAGCACTCCTTTCACAAGGGTGCACAGGGCTCTGCTACTCAATGTTCACGATCAGCACAACAGGGCAATTAAGTTTTTCATAACAATTCCAACTTCAGTATTTCGTGAGGAATAACAACTCTGTTCCAATAAAAGTGTGCGACAGGAAGGTAGATGCAAGAAAAACTGGCAATTAAATGATAACCAAGGCACAGGTAAGGCAGCTCACACCAGCTAACCTTTCTACATAATGACAAAGGAAGTGGCACTGCCTGTGGAACACAGCATGTGCAGATAGATGCTTTACTTTTCGAAAAGCAAGCTCCTGCACATGCATGCAGTGCTCACAGCTTCTGTACAATAACCTGCTTGTTTACAGACTGAGTTGGTGTATAGGGGTTGGGGATGTTGAAATACAGGAAAAAAGTAATGGATACAGTTTCAAGGCATGAAAAACAGCAGGTACAATATTATGTTATGAATCAGTCTTTCATTGAATATTATTTAATCACAGCCAGTACCTGGATCACGAAATGGACCTGTATGATAACATACCCAACTCGCAGACACCCATTCCTCATCTCCGAAGTCTGGGAATGCCTCTCTCACAGCATTCCTCTCGGTGCTAAGGCCAACCACTTTTGCACTATGCCACCGGAGGGGGCAGGGGCAAACCAGATGACCCCCTCCCCAGGGACGGGGAGCAGTGCCCTCGGTATCCCTTGCGCGCCGCCGGCCAGTGTTTGCCCTGCCCAGTGGCGGCTGTTTCGCGGGGGCAAAACACATGCCTTGCCCTCCGGTTGGTATACCCATGCCCATCAACATCACTTCCTAGAATGCGCACCAAAGCACATATCTGCTGCCAATAGTAACCATGAGATAGGCTGAGCACACAGAATGTAACACAAAAGAAGGAATGCAAAACTTAAACAACCCTGAAGGAATATTAGAAAAAGTATCGAGTAGAGAAGGCAGGCAGCTATGAAGTAAAAAGGCTTTACCATAACACTGTGAAACAAGAATTAAACAAATATTCTATTTGGCTTTTTTTTTTTTTTTGCACCGTACGAAGGATGTGTTATTTTTATAAAACATGCACTGTCAATCAAGCCGGACATGGCATGTTCCTACCGGAGCCACTACTTTGATGTTGCTGTTGCATGAACTGTGCCTGCCAGCTGCTTACCAGGCAACTGCTCACAGAATGCAGCTTCCCAGACTCGCAGAAGTGCAGCTTGACCCGCATAAGGTTCTCGCTATAGCCGACAACCTCAGCGAGAAGGTCTTTTCCCGCTGTAGACTCCACAAAAGCCGCACATGCTTCAGCGCTCCAGGTACGTTCACGGCCACTACCTTTAGGCTCCACGTCGGCCAAGCACGCCTGCACCGCCTGGAAGGGCAGGCGTAGGAACTGCGTTTCCAGCGTCTTAACCCAGCTCGCAGACACCCATTCCTCATCTCCGAAGTCTGGGAATGCCACTCTCACAGCATTCCTCTCGGTGCTAAGACCAACCACTTTTGCACGATACCACCGCTCATCGTCCCTGCTTCTGGCGGCTACCAGCTCACCTTCAGATTTGTGTACCAGCCTGTCTTCATTAAAGGAGCTACAGCTGCAGGCCACTTGCAAGGTCTTCATGAGACTCTCAAATCTCTCTTTGGAAGCTGACGATCCCTTCTCAATGAGCTTCTGGATGGATTTATGGCCATAGGGAAATATGAGATAGAAGTTGCTAGGGCTCACTGCATACGAGACCTGTGCCAATACTGTGCAGCCTTCCTTGGGGAGCTTGAGGGTCGCCATGCATGTGGGAACTTCCTCCTTGACATGCAGGATCATGGAATTCGTTTCACCCAGGATGTGCTTGTAAATGCAGTACTCGCCTTGCCTGCAGTAGCCCTGGTTGCTATAGAACTTGCATATCCTACTTTCGTCCTTCACAGCAAAGTCTGCAGTGGCCACTCCAGGATCGTCTGTGTCGACCTTGTAACTGTTGAAAGAGTTGTGGTAATCTTCGTCCATGGGACTGAAGTCTTCGATGGCAGATCTGTCAATTCTTTTGATGAGGGACTCTCTCCGACTCGGTGCTCGTGCATGTCCATCTCTGATCAAGCGTTCTGCAATGTCACCTTCAGTTCTACTCTTGAGATTCACAACAAAGATGTAGTCTCCGTAATCATCGCTGCTCTTCTCCTTGCTGGTCACCACGGCTACCAGCGGCGACTCACTATGGGTCAGCTGCGCAAACCGCTTCACGTCGATATCTGTCCAAGCATTCCAAGGTTCGACACCGGCTAGCTGAAACCTCAAAGCCAAGGGGCCCTGCTGTGCCAGCTTGGCATCCATCTTGTAAAGGCACAAAGAGCTGACTGTCTTCCGGTTGCCATAGTCGACGAAGAAAACTCGTGTCTGGAAGTGTGATCCCACCTTCTCCAGATCCTCGACTCTCACCCTGACCGCAGACTGCACTGCGAGGTCTCTGTAGATGTAGTAGCTCCCTTTGCGAACTTCGGAGGCAGCGCAGGGCTCCAGGTCACATCCTGCAATATTTCTTTGAACATCGGTTAAGCGTCCTCTCAGCCCAACAAGCTGGCCGTACCAGAAGTCGGGCGAGCACGTGAACGTAACTTCAACTTCAAAGCAGCTCTCTTCGGGCACAGCCGTGGGCGGAAGACTCGATGGGACACAAGGCGTGTACTCGATCTTCGAGACCGCTTCTGGGTACGCCTGTATCGAAGCGCCAGCGCCCGTGTGATTGGAAACGCTTTTGCCGTTCATGAGCGGCTTCGTTGTCTTCACGTCGGTCGGCGCCGTCACGTTGAGGTACCGCAGAAACTCCGCAAACCCGTGCTGCACGAGAAGCTCAGCTACGTTCAGGCGATTGGTCGGTTGCGCCTTTGGATCTCTCACGAACAAGTCCACGTCGTACACTCCGGCGTCCGACATCCCATAAAAAATGGCGTCGAAGAGAACTTGGCTGTGCGGAGAGACCCGCTGCAGGTCAAGGCGAGAACTCTGGCTCGTTGGCCGAACCTTGCGAAGGCAGCACGGGGCTGTCATGTTGGGCTTCGAGGAAACTTCTCTGGTGATGGGAAAAACGCAGTCGAGCCCTATCATGTCCGTGTTTCCCCGGTCAACGTACAAAATCTCGGCCGATACCTGGATGCCGCTGAGGTTCTTATGGACGTCGGTGACTTGGGCCCTGAGGAACCGCTGGCTCTTCTCCTCGAAAACCAGGCAGAACATTCCGATGTGAACTTCGTACACGTGAGACACCCCTGGCGCAGGACTCGGGACGCCGTCATCGTCGGAGTCGTCGAAGTTGTAGCGGAGGAACAGTTTCGTGGGTCTCGCGTAATGCGTTACCTGAACCGACACACGGACACGTATCGGAACGTCAGTGGGTTCTGGTATGACATGTCGCCGTGCGACGGGCATTTTGGAGTCGGCTGCAGTCACCCAAACCTCGGGGTGGATACCGAGGTCAGTTGCCCATCCCGACTGGAACGTGAGGGAGCTGCTTCGGTGCGAGGGACAGAATGGAAAGTACAGCGCAAGTCAAGTCGCGGAATCAGTCGTCGCAACCACCAACAAGGCAAACACTCGTTCACACGGACAAGAACACAGACGCGTGAAATTAATCGCGTGACACGAACTGTTCCACTGTGCAACGTCTTCTTCTTAAAAATAAGGGAAGAACAAAGACTTCCTCGTTGCGTTGATAAAACGATAACACGATAAAAGACGAAGACGAGTGAATGGATGATAATCAGGTTATTATGCTAATGGTTGTATACTCGGCTCTAAACTGTACCCTTTTTAACGGGCGGTAGCTTGCGCCACCTAGCTCATAAGTCAAAAGTTTTTTTGTTTTTTTTTGTTTCTCACCCGCCACGATTCGAATATGAACGCGAGAAAACAATGATTGCACTTTAAAGAGATACTTCAACGAAATTTGAAAGATACCAGTCATGTTCAAAAATAGGTTGAACATGACCCACAATATCCGTAAATGATAATCACAAGTTGGTATTTTGAGCCTGGTTGCTCCATTTTTCGTTATAAACGGCCCAACCTGGCAAGCGCTCGGAGAGCAGCCAGGTAACGTTAGCAGCCAGTGGAGACCACGTGACATCCGACGCAACCGTGACGTAGTTCGTCTCAGGACGAACAAAGCTGCGGTGAGGCTGGCGTCGAGAGGATGGCCTTATAGTCCTTCTAGCCACCGAAGCGGCTGCTTTTGTACGAATTTTGAGTGACGGGTTACAATCTTCTGTAATCTTGTAGAGGGACAATAGCGACTTCTGGGCTACCTCGTTGCTTCTGGGACATACAAAAGAAACTCTCGGGGAAAGAGGAGTTCCTCCCTTTCCTCTTCTCTCGTGGTGGCCAGAGGCGAGACCACTGATCTCTATTGTAGATTAGTGGGCGAGACAGTTAGAGTCACTACCTTTCAAGGTTCCTAGACGGGCATTACAAACAAGGCATTAGCGACATCCACCAGGTGCTCTTTGCTAATCGTTTAATTTGTTTTAAAATTCCTTTTTGTGCTTCTTTTAACAAGATATCGGTGTGTCCGATGTGATACTGCTCCTCTGAATACATATAGACCAAAATATCAAACCTATATGCTGGGCTAGTTGGTATTGGTCTTGGGTTGCCAAAGGCATGGTAGCGCTTTTTTGGACGAGGACAAAAGAAAGAAAGACAACGCTCGTGTCTGTCTTGTCTTTCTTTCTTTTGTCCTCGTCCAAAAAAGCGCTACCATGCCTTTGGCAACCCAAGACCAAAATATAAGTGCTGAAATTTAGTTGTAGTATCCCTTTAAGACAAGAAAAAAAGAAAGAAGACACCACGGAGCGCTAAAACTCTGTGGTGTCTGCTTATCAACATGGAAAGGTGTTGGGATTGATTTCAGGAACCATACATTCTGCAGATCATGGAGCTTGTGCCCTATGTACTCCGAGCAGTGGAGCGTTGATACACTAAGCCACCTATCCCCTCCGACACTGTCTGCATTGCCCAATAGGTACCGAAATTTGGAGTTAATCGTGAAAATATAGGGAATAAGCGCATGTGAGGCCATCATTTATACATATATATGTACTGTGCATAATTTTTCAGGTGTTTCAAATATTGGGGGTGGGCAGATGCACAGTATTCTATGGTAGATGCCTAGGCCCGAGAAAAATTAATATTGTGGGCGATGTTTGTGCTGCACAATATGTGTGCGAGATAGATCCTGTGTCGTTGACAAACATCTTATTATACCCCGTCATGAAGGACTTTCATTGATGGTGTTCCTCTACAAACACCAGTAATTCAGACCAATTCAAGAGACTTAATAAACAATATACACTTCTCTAACATATTTGTCGACACACAGAAATAGCAACAGTAAGAATTAACATAAAAAAAGCTCCAGCAGAGAGTGCAATTTTACCTCCGAGTGTGCTCAGTTGCTATGCATGCACATAGAGGTAATTTAGTCATTCACATCACGATTGTCTTTTGGTGCAGCTGCCTTGAAACATCCACATCATGCAGCATAAAAGAAAACGCATGATGCAACTGCTAATGAAACTACCCTATGTTCAAGTAGTAACAAGATGACAACTGTCGAGTTGATGCAGCTTTATTCAACATTTTTATATTTGTTTCTCAGGTTCACTGAGCATATGTAAATAAAGAAGATGAGTAAACCCCTGTTTCCCTTCACTTTATTTATAATGGCATTGAAAAAACATTTTTAGCACATTATTAATTCATAATCTAACCCAATATAAAATAGCATTAAGATATATCACAACATCATTCTAGCACGTGTAATAAACAGTACTTAAACAAGCCCTTGAGGAATGTAACACCAAAAACCACGAAAAATGCCAATGACTCTTATGGTTATAGTAAGAATCAAATGCCCAAACAATTTACATTTGACTAGATTTTGTTAAAATTAATGTAAACAGTGTATTCTGGCCTACAAACATGACAACTAATTGTTACTTCACCCAGGGGCGGATTTAGAGGGGGGGGGGGGGGGGGGGGGGGGTCTGGATGTCCTGACCCCCCTCTTGATTTCTGCTTGTGCAAATTTTAGAGCAGAAAACGAAGGAGAGGGGGAGGGGGTTCCTACACATGTGGTATGCTGACCAACACCTGACCCCCCCCCCCCCCCCCCCTTCCCTCAGGAAATTCCTGCATCCTCCCCTGACTTCACCATTGGTGCCTTCTTTTCAGGAAATAAATATAAAATCCACATACTGCATCAGCACTGCTTGAGGAGAAACAAGATGGTTAATGTTTCCTCAAATACCACACTTGTGATTTGCACACAAAGCACAAAGGTAGTCAAAACTGGTCAGACAAACTTGAGGAAGAGTCATCAGTAGCAGACGACATTTCGCTAATAAAAGACAGTGTTTGTGGCTTCACTTTAGGTTTTGAAGAAACTAGATCTTTAAGCAAAGTATTGCCTGCCACTCTCAAACTCCCAGAAGGTTCTTTGTATCCCTTACAAGCACATGCGATTTGATGCACTGGATTCTGGTACTGTCCACCATGAGCTGAGAGTTGTAACAGAGGGCAAAGCGTACACTTCAGAATGAGATCATAAGGCCATTGAGGCAAGTTGATACAGATACAATATACTATAAGGAAAATATTGCGATGTTATCATATTCCACGCAAGTGTCCTTATCCGAGTATGGCTGCTAGGAAATAATATACCCGCGGCAACAGTATGAAGACGAGACATGCCTCAAGCATTATACAGTTGAACCTTGATTTAAGGAAACCCAATTTTACGAATTTCCTGATGTAATGAACAAATTCGGATTCTCCGTGCAGCCTACGCGCGATGTCTCCCTTCCTCGACTTTACAAAGTTCCCAATTTAACGAAATAATTAAAGGGTCCCGGTGACTTCATTAAATTGAGGTTCAACTGTAGTAGGCAAGGCCAACTTTTCATCGAAAATATAATGTATATTCTCTATCGAGCAAACAATACATAATTAGTGACAGCATCATAAAGCTCAAAGGCTCGAAAGGAATATAGCGGTACATGCTTTAGAGATACATGGAACCGAGCTCTCGCAGAAAAGTGTGCTTGCACTTTTTATACTGAAAAAATTGTAAGGGTGCAGGCGAGCTGGTGGAAGTTAACCATAGTTTTGTTTAACCCGAGACTGGGGTATTTCGGAAAAGGGACGAGAAGAAAAGAGGCCACAAGGAGGCGACGTCTCAAACACAGCTCAAACTCAAACAGCTGTGTTTGAGACGTCGCCTTCTTGTGGCCTCTTTTCTTCTCGTCCCTTTTCCGAAATACCCCAGTCTCGGGTTAAACAAAACTATGGTTAACTTTTTATACGTGGCTTGCGTTGACGTCACATCAGCTGCCATTGTTCCGTACCATGCTCCTGTGCCCGTACCTTCTGCAGCATGCGCTTGGCACCCTCCATTCTGTTCTTCTCGGCAAGGTTTGATGAGAAAAAATTCGATGGTATGAAATGTAAGCTGCGGAAGGTATGGACACAGGAGCATGATATGGAGGAGCAAAGGCGGCTCTGGTACGGTCCCAATGACATCACATGCAAGGCACGTATAGCCTATGCCATGAATGGCGTAGCCAGGATTATTATTATTTTTTTTATTTTGGGGCGGGGCGGAGCTAAAGGTGTTAGGACGTATATGACTTAGGGTGTGTGTGTGTGTGGGGGAGGGTGTCTGAAGCCCTATAAGCTCTCACCCTGGCTATGCCACCGTATGCCATAGACACTCAGTATGCTAAATAGCTACACATAAAGAGTTGGTATTTGCAAAAAGGCAGTTAGACATGATGCATCTTAGCATGGCCCACAACAGACCGACTGCACAAATTTCAGTGGTGAAGTGCCTTTGATAAGGAGGCGGTGATTTTCCCTCTCTGCGGCGGGTGAGGGTACCATATCCTCGTAGCAATCCCCCTATCGATGTCTTTGGCGACGTTCATCCTCTCTTGGCCGTTCTCTCCAGTCATTACAAACATGTCTACCTGATACATGCCCGCCTCAGAAGTTCCATAAAAGACTGCCTCCAGCTCTGCACCTGGTGTGACGCACCAGTCCACCATGTCTCGAAGACGCGTGCTGCTGGGCGACGTCAGGCGGCGAAGGGAACAGGGAACAGTTAGGCACGGAATCTTGGCGTCAATTTCAGACAGGGGAAACAGCTTGGTCATGCCCAGCACTAGGGATAGCCCGCAGTCCACACAGCAGACCTCGGCGGATATGGGCATGCCGAAGCCGTCCTTCTGGACGTCTAGCACGAAGGCCCTGGCGAGGTCGAAGTTCCTGCCGGTGTCCGCTACGCAGTAGGCTCCCACGTTCAGCGTGTAGAAGTGCTTCGTCTGTCCGCGGACGAAGTCTCGGATGTACGGATCGCGGTGTTTGTTGTCCTTCAGCCTGAGCCAGAACTTCGTAGGGCTGGAGCACACCTGCGATCACACGCATAACTCTGCCCCATCCCTCACGGTGCATCACTGCCCTGCCCTTCATTATACCTCTGTTCATTAATCACTAACATAATCACCCCCTCTAGACGGGCCTCACAGGCATTATTGTACGGGCTACACGCCTTTCTGTGACGCCTGCGCTCACGAGCGCAAATAAATACCAAATACCAAATGAAGTTGCTGACCCAGACGGGCAGAGGGACCTTCATCGGAATGCATCTGAGCTCGGGGATGAGTGGAACTTGCATTGCTTGGAACTCGAATATCAGCTGCGCTGAAGCCAAAGCTTTCAGCGGCTGAACCCACAAATAGCAGGGTAGCTGAACGGCTGAACCGCCAAGCTACAGTGGGCTAGCTGAGCTGGTGCCTCAATGTCCTTCTGTTTAGGGTGATGCCACCCTTTGTAGCACCCGATGCCGACAGCACGCGCTCACGGGGAAAATACAAAGAAATCGACGAAAACAAAATGTCGCCATAGCACAGACATCGCCGAAGACGCGTGCAGGGACAAGCTCTTTCACGCGCTTCTGAACAAAAAATAAAAATAAACCCGTGGGACAAAATGGCCTAATGTCTCCACCCTAAGCAAAGCGCACATGAAGGTATTCTAGCTGAGCTGAGCCAGCTGAGCTGAATTTAGTGAACTGAGCAAGCTAACAAACCACATCTACCGCGTGGAACAATATCCCAACGTTGCGTGAACAGGCGTAAAGTCTTGACCGTCTTGACGTCTTGACTCTTGAGCGGCCTTGCCAGCCTTGCTGGCCTTGCCGCCTTGCCTTGAGTAGCCCTGAGTGCATTGAATCAGCCAGCCAGTCAACCAAGCCAGTCGCCAACCACCAAACTTTTTTTTTTTTTTTTAGCTGAATTAAGAGAATGTACGGACGCAGTTTTAGCCAACGTTTGTTTAAGCATTTCAAGCGTTCCAGTTTCGGCGGTTTTCGTGGACCTTTTCGTTTCCGTCTCACGCGTCTCACGCCGCTAGGGACCCTTGCAATCGGATTTCCAAATGTTGTGGTAGTGAACGTTGGTGGTGGCTACCGGTGGCTACTTCGCTCTTCGGTTTTTCATGCCACCGTATTTCCGCGATGGCTACGTCCACGGGAACTCGTCGGGAAGATAAAAAACAGGTATAGTAGGTAGCATGCTCCCTATCACGGCGATGGCAGTGTTGGACATTTAGGAAATGCGGGCAGTAATCGTCCGGTCGGTCTGTGGAATTTTTGCCGAGTTTGCGTTCAGTTCCTACCGCAAAACGCGAGGTGTGGATAAGATCTAGTTCAATTTCGAAACCATTGGGAGTTGCGAATTGTTAATTGTGCTACTGGGGTGCCATGAAATCAAACTGTTTTTCATGTGTCAATTTCTAACATCTGAAATTTATCTCGAAGCTGTAGACCGTGAACCACTCCGCTGCAAGCACCTTTGACGTAGTTCTAATGACATCGGAAGTTTCTATTATTCTTTCATTTTCAGGAGACCACAACGCTGCCGTTGCATGACAGGATGATGCAAGTAGTTGATAAACATGGCGAACTGATACAAGTTCAGGCATTGGTAAGCTTTCCTCTTTCTAAAGATCCAGCATTAACTTTGCGTACAAGAGCATGAAGTTCAACTTCGAGATTTAGGCGAGGAGACATGATATGTGATATGGACACAGCCTCAAAAGCAGCCGTGATGTACTACAGCAAGACAACTGAAACGTGAGACCAAGCAAGCAGAGAGAAGACAAACAGACAGGCAGAGATGTGCATTGCTTATCAAACATATCACCGCCACTCGGTTATTCAAATATTGACCTATAGCCGGCTACTCAAAGCTAAGTTGATTACCGCAGCAGCTGGAATGTCTTCCTCAGGTTGGGTTTCAATTGAGGAGCAGAAAGTTCATTACATAGTTCGACTAAAAAGAGGACAACATGTGCCAAAGACGGACTATCTCGTGGCAACATTGAGTTTGGGCAGCACTGTACACTGCGCGGAACTGTTAGCATGACTGCGACGTTGGCACATAGCATGCATGGCGTCACCGGACAAAGAGAAATCCTTGGTGGTAGATATCGCTGTTGTCATACCGGAACAGTACCACCAATTTTCGCTAGTCTGCCCTACGGGCCTAGGTTACCTGCATACTGTTGCCCATATTTATTACGATTGTACACTCACTACTTTTCTCTTCTCTTTTGTTACAGAGCAGAGGATTCGTAGAGCTTGTGTACTGGCTGAAATACCGACCAGCGAGATGCATCTTCAGCTTCGAGGACCAAATGCAGATATGTGCCAATCAGCTCGACAATCTCGCAGAGCAGTACAGGGCTCCCATCGACGAGTGGCTGGCTCGCATGACTCATATTGAGCAGGATCTGACGAAGGCCCTTAGGATTCCACATAACAGGTACGCTTTAAATTCCTTGAAGTGGTCCCGGTTGCCCGTTATGATGCTTGGTGTCTGAAATGCAAATCTGTATCCGTAATTCACTCATATATGCCTCCACAAAAACGAAACTTGGTCCAAGCTCGCAAGGCCATTAAGTTTTAAAAGACTTATCTTGGTATTTAAATTGTTTGTTCAGTGCATTTAAAAAAGGCAGACATTTTCTTCTTTTTTTGTGCTCTTTTCTCACTTTATATCTGCCTGCTATATCCAACTCGCTGCAACCGACCAAGTAGACTCATTATTCTTATTAAAACTTTGGTTGGGGCTAGTTGGTTCATATCGATTAAAAGGTTAAAAGGCGCAAACAAACGGGACGAAAAAAGTCACACGTACGACACCTGTCGCCTGTCCTTGCCGTACGTTTGTCTTTTTTCGTCCTGTTTGTTCGCGCCTTTTAAGCTTTTAATCATTGCTTTTAGTGCATGCTTATTTCCTGAGGTTTGCCTGCCCGTGTATGTTGTGAGAGTGACTATCCAACTTCTTTTTGCCCTCTAATAACAATGTCAAAGAAATACAGCAAGAATTGCTTTATCGCACATATCAGGGGAGTGTCCTCTTTTTTCCGTAAGGATGAGAAATTTACACAAGCTGGGTATTGAACAAATTAAAGTCAGCATTGAATAGTGGGACAACAAATTTTGTTTTCTTCTAAATTACTTCGAGGTAAACAGATTTTAGTCTCATTACCCGGACACATGGGTCCACTTCAGTGGCTCACAGGTTATGTCATTATCACAAGTTGAAAGTTGGTCGCAGCCCTGTGGAAATGGAATATGTAGAACTTAGCAGTCTGCTGGAACCACTGATCTCTATGTCTATTTGCTGGATCGCGTTTGACCAGCTCCTCCTATGGACCGGAATGCGGTCACTGGCGGCCATCTTTAGGTAGAGTTATATCATCTCTAGCCATCATAGTAATATGGCGGACAGCGCAATGGCGGCAGGCTGCCATAAAATAGCCGTAGATCTAGTACACTGTACCGTGGGTGACATTTCGTGCTTGATTGAAGTTGTTCGACGAAGCAGATTCTTGAAACCCGGCGTGAACAGTAGCCTCATCTTTGAGGACCCGGCAAAAGTTCTACGAAAGCGCAGCACCGGGGGAAAGCAGCGCAGCTCGCATCAAAAGCAGACTCCGTACCGTCGTCTGCTTTCGATGCTTCTTTCGATGCGACTTTCAATACGTGCTGTGCTGCTTTTCTCCCGGTGCTGCAATTTCGTGAAACTTTTACCAGGTCCTCAAAAACTGTTCTGTACTGTTCACGCCGGGTTTCAAAAACATGTTTCGTCAAATAATTTTAATCAAGCACGCAATATCACCCACGCTATTTTGACCGCAGCCTGCCAACCCGCCTGCCAAAACGCTATCTGCCATGGATGAATGATAGCGGCTGCAGCAGCTTACAATGGCTAGAGGTGATATAACTCTACCTAAAGATGGCCGCCAGTGACCGCATTCGCGGAGCGGGCAAACGCGATCCAGCAATTGTCATAGAGATCAGTGGCTGGAACATACTCTGGCATTCTGCTGGTGTGGTGCAAGGTCCTAACAACAGGTTTATTGTCATATTGTTCATGATTGTGGAGTGGGAGCCTCTTTCTTTGCCTATTCTCACACGCAAGTGCTTACGTGTGGCAGAGTGAAGAAACCTGAAATTAAATCATAAATATTATTATTATATTCAACCTCAAAGGGTCGTGTGCAGCGTGGACATAAGCATGGGACTATCAAGTGACTTCCTTTCCAGGGGCTTGTGCAGACACGGCATATTGCAGAGCTATTTTCTTGTGCTCTTTTTCTTTGAGTGCTCCACTCAAGAAGGGTGAATTATGTGTTTTGTGTTACGTGCAGGCATACCTCGGCAAACCTCACTCATGAGGGCCCTCACTCACCCTCACTCACCCTCATCTTCACAGGTGAGGTGAGGGGGAGTGAGTTTCTGAACCAGGAAAATTCATGAGTGTGAGGGTGAGTGAGGGCCGTGAGGGGGGTGAGGGCCGTGAGGGGCCGTGAGGGCTGTGAGGGCCGTGAGGGCCGTGAGGGGCCGTGAGGGGCCGTGAGGGCCGTGAGGGCTGTGAGGGTCGTGAGGGCCATGAGGGCCATGAGGGCCATGAGGGCGGTAAGGGGTATGAGGGCCATGAATGCGTGAGGGGCGTGAGGGTGGTGAGCGGCGTGAGGGCCATGAATGCGTGAGTGGTGTGAGGGTGGTGAGTGCGTGAGTGGTGTGAGGGCCATGAGTGCGGTGAGGGCAGTGAGTGGCATGAGAGGCGTGAGGGCCGTGAGGGCGGTGAGCGCATGAGGCGTGTGAGGGCCATGAGTGCGGTGAGTGCGTGACGCCCCCTTCAGATCGAGCATCTTTCTCAGCAATTTTGGAGTTAATGGCGGGTTGTTCTCTAGTTTTCCGTAGATCGACACGAATTGCTGAGATCGGGTGCGGCTCGGAATAAGCAAGCAATTCGGAGCAATTCAAATGCGTTTGAAACGGCTGCATCCAATCAGGGACGCAAAATTTTCACGTGATACCTCGTGCCGGTGATGATGACACCGAAAGACTTGGTTCTGGTTTGAAATCAATCGTTTTTTTGGAAATAAACTGTTTCAGAAAGGTGCATTAGTATTCTTAACGAGATTTAAATGCATAAAAACACGTTTATAACGCGTAATTGTGTCTAAATAGTGCAAGAAAAATAAAATTTTATGATGACGATGGCAAATTGCAGCAATTGGTTGCTGCGTGTGATCGCGGGCGGCCCGTGTTGCTTTAGTTGCGACGTAAGGTTTCTGGGCGAATTTGCCCCATCTGAAGCTGGCCTGAGTGGCGTGAGGGCCATCAGTGCGTGAGGGGTGTGAGGGCCGCAAGAGCGGTGAGGCGCGTGAGGGCGGTGAGTGGCGTGAAGGCGGTGAGTGGCGTGAGGGCGGTGAGTGGCGTGATGGCCGTGAGTGGCGTGAGGGCCATGAGGGCGGTGAGTGGCGTGAGGGCCGTGAGGGCCGTGAGGGCGGTGAGTGGCGTGAGGGCCGTGAGGGCCGTGAGGGCGGTGAGTGGCGTGAGGGCCATGAGTAAGTGAGGGGCGTGAGGGTGGTGAGTGCGTGAGGGCCGTGAGGTTCAGTGAGGGTGAGTGAAGGGCTGAAGGTGAGTGTGACTGTGAGGGTGAGGGTGAGTGAGGGGCTGAAGGTGAGTGTAGCTGTGAGGGTGAAGGTGAGTGAGGGGCTTAGGTGAGTGTGGCTGTGAGGGTGAGGGTGAGTGAGGGCGACCTAAAATGCCGACCTCTGCGTGCAGGCACGTAGCCGGGGGGAGGGGGCATGACGCCCGGGCTCCCCCCCCCCCCCCCCCCCCCCCCGAAATCTTCTATTTTGCTGGGTCCTCTTCCTTCCCCTTCCCTTCATACAGCATTTTGTCATGGGCGCCCCCCCCCCCCCCCCCCCTCTTCCCGAAACAAAATCCTGGCTACGTGCCTGGTGGCAGGAGGGGAGAAAAGATTCCAAGCCTTTCATGGTAACAGTTCTTGGGATTTTAGGCCTGGCTTGAGAATTTTCATTAAGGAACAAGCATAGTATCTGGGTTTTAGCTCTACTAAGGCAGTAAAGCATATTCTGTTGATGTTACGAAAACCTTTTCCTCTCATTGTAAAGCTCAATTAATCCAATAAATACACCACAAAGGCATAGATATTGTAAAGCTCAATTAATCCAATAAATACACCACAAAGGCATAGATATATGGTATGTAAAATTAGGGCTCAATTCCTTTTCTCCCGAATTCAAAGAATGTGGCAACTGGACATGGTATGTTGATGAACTAGCGGCTCCATTTCCTTGCATAAGTGCCAAAGTGGGCTTCTGTTGATGCAAAAAAGTACTACAGTTCCAAAAATTCAAGAAAAGTGCCTTTACCATGTTCTCTGTACAAGAGGTGCTTTTATTGATTTGGTTCTTGGAAATAAATCGAGGAAGCAGCCTTTGAAAAAAGGTCACAATCTCATTCACCGGAAGAAATAAAAATCGGTTCAGATAAAATCCAAAATTGTGTCCCGAGTTCTTCAAAAACAAAAATCTGAAACCATGCAGCTCCAACTTATTGTTGTTTCGGGTACTGCAAAACCCTGAAGTGGGTTTAACTCTGAGGAATTCCTTGTTCAGGTTCTGGTCGCATGCAATGTATGATGATGGATTCCACCAGCTGCTGGAGTCTTACCTCCGCCTGGCCCCGAGGTAAGCACACTTTCGTTGCAGTCTTTGAAGAACAGGGGTTCTCTTCGACGAGCAACAAGCACTCGTTAGACTACCATAAAATTACGAGAGATGCCTCACACCCGAAAGATGGCCCGCCCCCAATTTTTGGCTCGATTTGGTATTTTTTTTTAAACACCGAAAGGTAGCCCACCTTTAGTAATAGTAGTGTTGGGATCAATGATAGCCCCGGCGTAGATGCGGCTAGTTCGCTAGGGCGCGATAGTAGCGAACGTTGCTGACTGGGAAGATCAGTCATCTTTGCTTCGTTGCCCCTCACCACCGTAACAAGCTTGGAAAGGGCACAACCTAAAAATAGCAATTTTTAAAACTTTTCTCTATTGTACTTCGAAAGTTAGCCCACTTCATATTTTCAGCCGGTTTGCTCCTGATGTTAGCTGGGCTATCTTTCAGGACTTTACGGTACTTCAGTAGTTGTGACCTCTGTTGATTTTAGCAAGGCTTGTTACCATGTCTGCAAGGACAGGGCTTGCAAGCTACTGTTTTGAGGGATCCTGTTCATTTAGTAAATTGTTCGGAAAAGGAATGCCTGATTCCGTCTTCAGGTTGGAATAACTTTGGCCCATAGCTTTGTTGTGCCATTGAGTGGTCATTGTTACAGACATTTATTCAATTCGCATGAGCTGAAGCTTGAAGGGTGTAAAGAGTACAAAGACATAGAAAGAGAGTCCCATAGACCGTTTTTGCCAAGCACTTGGGGCATGCATGACGCCGCCATAACTAGCCCACAGGTGGCAGTGCACGAGACGACTTGCACATGCAGAGCAGTGGCGAGATTGGTGCATGTGAAGATCTAAAGTTCCCTTCGATGCATCGTGGCAGCGGTGCCGCATCTGAACTGGCTGGCGAGATCGGTCTGTCGGATTAGCTGTTTTCTCTTCCAAAATATGATGTGTGACATTGACTCTAGTCATTTGCCTTCTAGATAGGTACTCATTTATCCCTTATCCAACGACTTTCTCCAGTCCAAAATAGCTTGCCGGGGTCCTGTGCCCATTCTAACCTCTCTGCAACTGTCCCCTCCCTTTCCCTTTCACAAACTGGAGGCATTTGTGCCGTACATCACTCCGTAGTTACTGACGGCTGAAGAAACGCAAGACGTCAGTTATTATCTTCACGCTTCTTGTTTCGTGATACGTTTTTCGGTGCTCTTATCAGCCAATGTCGCAATTTCATTGGCTGTGGAGTGACAATGGGGTGCTCGGGACTTTTCGTTTCCTAAAGTGTCGTTGAGTGTAGTCCTTTGAGCAGATGATGTGCATCGTTCGGTGTGCAGGTACACGGAACTTCACCGCTACCTTATCACCAAGGAGATGGAGGATGTTGAAGACAGGGTGTACAAGCTGGTGTTCCGCACCTTCCTGCGGCTGTCCACTTACAAGGAGTCCAAGGTGACCCGAGAAAAACCCTCCAGAGTTTTCCTCGCTATTCGTGCTTTCCTGTTTCTGGGGCGCCGATTGACTGATGTAGTCTAGCGGAGCTAAACAAACTTATACTGCCGTAGTAACATGGGGGTGCCTCCGCTTTGAAATTCTCCTCGGAGGTTGTGGAATGAATCTCGACACATTTAAACGATTGTACCGAGGTTCATCGACCCGTAAACGTCTTTCACATCTGTCAATTTTGCCAGGTGTGACCAGAGTACTTCTGCAAATTTCTCGCTTCTTTTTTGCCATTTTGTTTTAATGCCTTTTGTTCTATACCATGCAAATGTGAGCCCAGTGCTAATGATCTTCTAAAGTGACATTCCCAGTGCATGCGGGGCAATAGTGCGTGTTTAATGAATCCACTTCTCCATTTTACTAACTGATTTCCTAACTATTATTGTGGCAATACTATGAAGTGGTCTCCAGGTCGAGACTTTTGATGTTCTCAATTTGGTCTTGCTTCATCACAAATGCCTTTATACCACGCAGGTGAATCACATTGACAAGGAGAAATTTGCCAACCTCCTCTACGACAACTTCATCTTTGACATCCCGAAGATCTTTGACTTGTGCGTCCTGTTCCAGCGAGGCAATCACGACCTCGTCTGCCGCATGGTCGAGAACATCATGGGTTGTCAACAGAAGTACACCTCGGACCTGAAAGACATCGAAGACACCATGCTCATGGTGATTTCATTCAATCAATCAGTATTTTGTGTTCGTACGAAATAGTACAGACACTGGGGGTCGTTTCTTGTCCGGGTCTGGTCGCCCATTTTCTCGGCAAACAACATGTATGCACGGGGACAGAAGTACATCAATGTACCTAATAGAACACACAAGTAAAATAAAGATCAGCATTAAGAAACTCACAAAAACTTGTTAAATGGATTATCATTTTTGAGCCAACTCTATGCACTTTTGTGTTTGTCCTTCGGTTTGTAACCAACAAAGCTGGTGGCATGCGCCTCTTGCATACCTACTTCAATCATGCATACGGGAGTAATGCGTCCAATGAATGTGATGTGATATATTAGCATCTTGATGGCAATTACAGTTACCAGAAGTCCTTTTATGTTTATTTACATATTATGTTTATATTGATATAGCAAGAGAGAAACATTTGAATTGCAGTAATGCTACAACAAAAGTTGTTGGTTGGTTGCGGGAAGCCCGTCCATGGGAAGGGGCAGTTAGGTCAGAAAATGATCTGAATTGGTTTTAAATCTGACAGAAGACCTCACGGACGTCGACAAAAAACATTTCTAGAATTTACGCGGCAGTTCCTAGGCACTTTAATAAACATCTGTGCAGTACAATGCTGCGAAACGCTGTCGCGCTTCAGCGACAATCTGCCCCTTTTTTTATGAGGGAGTTGTTTTTTTTTTTTCCGATATAGTGTTTTGACATTTGAGTGCATAGCTATCTTGTTCTTAGGTGCCTTTATCTGATCGGGAATACGAACGACTTCCTGCAGGCATTTGAGAGAGCGGTGCACTCCATTCAGTCGGACATCGACGATGATGAATTTGAGACGCTGCCGAGACGGCTAGACGACCTGGCGAAAGGATCGGAGCTGAGCTCCATGCCCTTCTGGAAGCTGCTGGAGAGGGTCACATACACCGTGGACATTGCAGCCAGCCTGCTGGCCTTCTTCGAGGTCTATCCAGCCGTCGCAAAGATCTTTACTCTTGGGACTGTCGGACCTCGGTTGGTCAAGTATTTTCTCTGGATTTTGTTCATTGTGCTCTTATGACTTGGCATGGTTGGGCACGTAAAAGGTATTCACTGTGCTGAGAGGTTGGCATTGCTACTACAATGTTATACTACTACAGTGAAAGCTCGTTAATTCAAACTTCAATAATTCGAATTGATGAATATTTCGAACTGTATGACTTGGTCCAGCCAAGCTTCCATAGAAGTCTATGTATAAAAAAGCCCATTAATTTGAACGCTAGTAGGTTCCACCACAAATAATTCGAATTACGCTCCACCGCGCCGGCGGCTTCACGCCTGGCACACGGCCAGAGAAACGCACCCGCTGCCTACACACGGGGCTGCGTCGTCTCCGAAACTGAGAGAACGGTGAGAGAAGGCAAAATCGGGAAAAATCTAAACGGCGCGGAGGCGGTCAGAAGCGCCAGAAGGCAGCGGCGGCTGCCTCCTCTTCAATCTACGTGCACGTGACCTCCGAGACTCCTTGCCTGCGCCGACCCGCCAAACAAAAAAAAAAAAAAATCCTTGGTGGGCTTTTGCTCCCCTCCCCCCTCTCCCCCCCTCTTTTACAACGCCTAAACACACACACACACACACACACATCTGTCTCGACTGTCTCCGTCGGGTGTGCTCGTTTGTATTCAGCTTTGGGGGTACCGGCCGTCGCGATTCCTTGTGGTGTTGTTAAGCCTCTGCTAAAGTTTGTTTTGGCGGACATCGGTGGTGTGGCGCCGGACCGAGAGCTGCGACTTGAAGATGACGTGTTTTGCGGCAAATACCGTGCCAAAACACTGCAAGACTGACGTCCTGCGGGAAGTGGACGCCGGACTCTTGTCTAAGCAAGAAATTGCGAAGAAGCGTGCAATACCGAAAAGCATGCTATCTACTTACATAAAGAATAAGGGGGCTATTGGCGGCAGAAGTTGCCAACGAAAGGAAGAGGATGCGGGCCGCAAAGTATCGTGACCTTGAGAAAGTGCTTCTGCTTTGGATTAAGGACATGTGTGCACAGGATATTCCACTGAGCGGCCCTGTCATACTGGAGAGGCAGCGGACTTTGCCCAGCAGCTGGGTTACGACGACTTTGCTGCTTCAGATGGGTGGTTGCACCGATTCCGCGAGCGTTACGACTTTGTTTTCCGTGCTATGTCGGGAGAAGGAAAGGCCGTTACTTCACTTTTGTTTGTTCAAACTTTCGTTAATTCAAACTGAAGCGGCTTCACCTTGCAGTTCAAATTAACGAGCTTTTACTGTACTACAATATTAGTACATAAACATCAGTGCTGGAGGGAAACGCAAGCTGCCGGAATTCTGAGCGTCTTGTAGCGACGTTTTGCTACGAGACTTATCTAAATTAAGGGTATGCGAAAGTGGATTTAGAGATTGCCTTTTTTATGATGCGAGCTCAACCTACCTGTTCTAAGCACCCTAAAAAGATAAAAATTACAATCATGAGTGACCTTTCCCTCTAATAAAAACGTGACCAAGCATTGTGTCACGCCCCTTTGGCCCAAGCATCTCAGAAAATTCAAAATTTTGAATCGTGGGAGGCCTTTCTTTTTTTAAGAATGCGACCAAACATTGCAACACACCCCCTCCTTCTGAGGTGTGTCTCAGAAAAAGGGCATATCGCAATGTTCGGTCACATTTTCAATGAAAAAATAATCAGCAGATGATTGTAATTTTTGGTTTCCTGAGACGCTTAAGGCATGTAGGTTGAGTTTGTGTCATAAAAAAAGACAGTCTCGAGATCTACTTTAGTGCCCCTTTTAGTTTTTTAGAGAAAATTTGGCTACTGCTTCGAGGTTTTCGGCAGGTTCCTTTTCGAGTTCATCCTGCCATCTGTGACCACTTTTATGTTTTGCTTTTACTTTAGATAAAATATTAAAGTGCCTTAGGTAAAGTATATAAAGTTGCGTCGCTCTGAGGGCCACCTGTAATGTCAGTAGGAGAAATTAGCGCCTGCACATAGCAAACTTGGAGGAATGTTTTCTCCAACAAAACAGACTTGGAGGAATGTTTTCTCCAGCATGCTTTTAGGGGTAAGTTTTAGCACCTGATGTTTGAAGGCATGGCTCTGTTCCTGTGAAAAAAAAGAGAGCAACGTCTTTGGAAAGGAGATACATACTACCAAGTTGTGCTGGCAGTCAGGGTTTTTCCCCTTACCAAGCTGTGGTAGGATTAATACTTTTGAGCTGAAGAGTGTAGTATTGCAAAAGGGGAACTACATTCGTTTAAAGAGTTTTACAATGGAGCTGTTAAGGGCTAGGTTCCCCGGGATCGTGTCCCTGTATGTCGACACAAACCTACCTGGACAGCTACCGCCATCTATAAGCGACGGCGGCATGCACACAACCAGTATGGTTTCCGCCGTCGCTCGTAAATGGCGGCGACCTTTCCAGTTATAATAGAAGAATGGATAGTCGCGCGCATTGGTGAGAATTCATCGTAGGAAACAGTGCGAAAAACAGACGACGACGAAGAAGAAGCACACAGCGTATTGAGTATAGCTCTGCTGGTCTTTCTTCACGAGAGTGGAAAGGCTGAACGTTTTTTTTGCATGGTTTTATTGCGTAAATATTTTGTAGAAAACTTTATCTTAAGTCTCCTCGCAGTGAAAAGCCACACTGTGTGCTAGTATTAAGCCAAGTATAAAGCCATCGATGGTGTTTTTTTATTTGTTTTTTTACTCATTTCGTCACATTTCAGGTTAGCGGAATTCTTTGACTCGACCTTTCCCGTCCTGAAGGAGGAACTCATCCGTCGCAACAAGCTCAAGAGCTTTGAGCCGTGAGTGTGAAGCTCTCGTTGATGTGACCTGAGCAGAGTGTGTTCACCTTGTCCGTGTGCATGCCCAGAGTGTTCACCATGGTGAAGAAGCGACTCTCCTACGCCAAGACCTGTATCCTGAAGGTGTTCCGGTCCATGCTCCAGCAGTCCTGCCTGCAGCCGCTCACCGAGCTGGGGTCTGTTTCCGTGGAACACACACCTTCCATTTAATTTGTATTAGATATATATTATATCGACATAGACAAACATGTCTAACCGCCGAATTCAGAAACCTCACTCAAACTACACTCAAACTGAAGGGCCCCTCCACTTCCTCGAGAAGGCGCGAGGGCCGGCGCTGGCCAATCGCGAGGACAGATCCGCCGTCGCGATTGGCCAGCGCCGGCCCTCGCACCTTCCTCGAGGAAGTGGAGGGGCCATTCAGTTTGAGTGTAGTTTGAGTGAGGTTTCTGAATTCGGCGGTAAATCTCTCTAAGATTGTCACACGTTGCAACCATTTGTAGGTTATCAAACTATTTAGCATTGCTTTGTCCCAGAACAAAAATGAAGTGTGTCAGCGGTATTGTGTTTTTAACAAAAGCAACATGTTTTAACTTTTCAAGGCTTGTTCCCATATTTGCTGTGGAGTGTGCTCAAGTGTGTTGCGTGAGGTAGCCCTTGAATTGCGTATAACGAGACTGGAGGTTTTGAGTAGGTGTGAGATCAAAATTGGGTTATGGGGATATTTATACAGTGTGTAGTTGGTCAGCCATTTAAAGTTGCGACGAGTCACTCGCTGTAGTTGAGCAGTTTAGCCAGTGTAGTACAACCGCTAGCCTGAGGTCTTTAACGTGCACCACGCAGTAGTGATACACGACCGCACGATGAGATCAAATATGTGTACCATATATGACACATTGTCAGAATTATTCCAATCCCATAATAAAAAAGTTATGCGTACAAAATTGTAGAAATACATTTGCAGGTTGAGTGTGCTTTAAAGGGGCCCTGCAAGCACTTTTTTACTAGTTTTTAATTTGCATCAAACCTGAGCGCACTGACCGTAGTAACTTAATGCAACTTTTCTTTTCTCGAATTTCGCCTTATTTTAAAAGTTATAGGCAAATTAAAATTACAAAAACAAGCAAAAAATAACCTCCCTCATGACGTCCTTGGTTGCTGAGCGGCCGTGAACTAGAGGAGTGATAGTGAGCTCAGCGAGCGCTTACGGCTGCCGCACTCCGTGTTGACGGCGCGAGAGGGCGCCACTAAAGCGTATTCTGGATAGGCTGTATACAGCGGGCAGCCAGAGCGGCTCTCATTGCATTTGCTGCGCGATTAAACACTAATTCGGCATGACACTTCATTGGCCACGAACGACAGCAAACACGGGGTGAAGATCAGTTCAGAATGGGAGCCACTTCGCGCTGCCGTACCGCGAAATGGCCAAAACGCAAGACAAAGCTACTCGCTGAAGGCCTTCGGAACGCTCGGAGCCGGTCGGATCCTCAAGTCCGTAAACGACCGCAGCGCCGCCGCGTACATTCGGGACCTTTCCGTGTCGGCGCCTGATCCCACTACTCTTTTCTAGTATGCGCCGCCTTTTCCCCCGCTTGGTGGCGCGTATGTCGACGGGTCATTTCTTGTTTCCGTACTTTATAAACTGCATTTGTTTCTTTTCTGACCTAAAACATTGAACAAAAACTACTTTTATAAACAATTGAAACGTTTCGCGCCACTTATATTTTGTATTTCGACTAAAAAGAAGCTTTTAGCGGCTCTGACCAGTAGTAAGCCAAGGACCAAAGACGTCATATTTCGCGCGCTTTCGGTACCGCGGGTCGCCCCCGTCGGTGGAGGAAGCTTCCGCGTCGTCCGGTTAAAATATGATGCACTGATATTCAGTTACTCTCTCCGTGCCCGCTGGCTTGCCCGAACCCCAAGACACGTGGAAACCGCAAAAAAAGTATACACTTAAATGTGATTGCAGGGCCCCTTTAAGGCACCTATTAGACGGCACCAGTGTGCCAGAGGGTTCTATCCTTGTAAGTGGTTAGAAGTAGAAATGTGCGAATAGTGGATTTTAAGTTCAAAGCGATGAGTGGTTTCGCCGAATATTTTTTAATCGGATATTGAATATTTTCTCTAACCTTTCACTACTGCACCATGCTCTAAATGAAAACCCAGCCGAATTCGTGAAGGTTGTTCCCAAGCTTCCATTTGTCCATTTCGAAGCTAATTTTAATCTAACTGTCTTTATTGACTATGGCTTCAGTAAGTCCAATGCCTACATCGGAATGGCAAGTAGATGGTGCACTTGACATAAAATTAAACCTATAGACAGACAGATTGTTTACGGACAAGCCCACATTTGACCACATTGGGTGTAAGCACTGCGCAAGCGCAGAAGCCAGACTCGCACGAGGTGAAGTTTCTGCGCATGCGCCGTAGCAACAACAGTGCCACCGCAGAGATGCGACGTCAGAGCCGCAGGTTGGCGTATAGGGATGCCCAACTCTACCTCATCGAGGAAATTTATAAATGTTATTGCTAAATGCAAATATTGTTTCTTCAGTTGTGAATGATAAATGCAGGTTGTCAGGGCATCTCTGCTGAACATATACTTACGCATAATAGCGAATTTAACCTTGAAAATTTTATCCAATGGAGACATTAACATTCACAAAGCTTTTTTTTTTTTTTATATACACCAGTGGTTTTTTTTTAGCACGTGGCTGCATTATCTTGTACTTTTAGAAGTGCTGATCGCTGGGTTCTAGTTTTGTTGGGTGCACTTCTTAGTGAGCACTGGTGCAGTGAGGAGATGACTTACCAACGGCAGTGAGCTCCACGGGTGTTGCTTCTTTGTGGTGCATTGGTGCTCAGTAAGAAGTGCGCTCAACAAGGCTAACCCACCGCAATCAATATTTAAAAAAAATATTAATATTGCGGTTTACCCCGAAATGAATATCGAATGGCGTATTATTGTAAACTGCTGTTCAGAAATTTGAATATTCGCACAATTTTAGTTACAAGGGAATGCTACGCAAATGAGCTCACTCAACGCAAATGAGTGAACCAGCCTTAAAACATATTTGCTGTACTCTTCCTGACAAGACTGCGTTCCTGCACCCATGAAAGAATAACCCTGCAAAATTTCTTTCTTTTCACAAGTACTTGTTCAACAAAACAGTTTTTTACAGCCACATTTACTGCCATCTTGCTACTTAACACACCATAGGACTTGCATTTCTGACATAGATATAATATATTTACTAGAACGTTACTTATGCTATTCTTACTCTAAAGAAACTCTTAAAAGCAGAATGACTAACAGATCTACATAGCTTAAATTGTTTCTAGGCTAGTTATGTGTAGCAGCATTTGGTTCTAATTTTATCACTTTATGTCTTCTATTTCAACACCAGTCAAGAGAAACCAACAGGCCAGGAACTTCCCTACCTGGAATCTTTCTTCGAAGTCATCTGCAACTGCCTGACAGAGAAACAGTAAGTTTTTCTCTTTCCTTGAATTTGTATTGTCCCGTATTATTGTGGCTTCCCAAACTTACTTGGGAAGCCACCCAAGGATTGCTGGGTATCACGGGTTACTCGAGCCTTCAAAAGGTTTTTGCTTGCCCAGCCCTTGAGTTGTGTACAGTGTAGACCGTATATAACGTATGTCGCGGGAGTCGCGAAAATCCGCACTATAAGCGGTACCGCGCTATAACCAAAACATAGATTTTTCAGCCCAAAATACATGCCATGAGACAACTTACCTTTGTAAAACAATTTATTTTATATTAAATGAAAAAATGAAAGCCGTTTACAACTCCCTGTAACGCCGAATTAGAGTGCAGCTCTTGAGGAGGAGGAGGGAAGGGTACTGGGGGGTGGGTCAAGTGACCTCGGGGGGCGGGGGGTCACGTGACCTTGGGGGTCACGTGACCTTGTGGGTCACGTGACCTTGTGGGAGTCACGTGACCTTGGGGCGTCACGTGACGTCGGGGGGTCACGTGACCTGGGGCCACGTGACGATACCGATGACGTCATCAGTAGCGTCACTGATGACGCCATCAGTGATGATGATGACGATGCGGATGCCGGTGACGTCATCAGTGACGTCACTAATGACGTCATCAGTGATGATGACGATGACGATGCGGATGCCGGTGACGTCATCAGTGACGTCACTGACGACGTCATCAGTGCCTATGACGTCAACGGGGGGTCACGTGACCTCGGGGGGTATCCCCAGGTCACGTGACCCCAGGGGGGGTCACGACCTGGGTAACCATCGTGACCCTCGTGAGGGTAACCCTAGTAACCCTTGTGAGGGCAACTCTCGTGACCCTCGTGAGGGTAACTCTCGTGACCCTCGTAAGGGTAACTCTCATAACCCTCGTGACCCTCGTGAGGGTAACTAACCCTCGTAACCCTCGTGAGGGTTACGAGGGTGAGTAACCCTCGTGAGGGTAACTCTCATAACCCTCGTGACCCTCGTGAGGGTAACCCTCGTGAAGGTTACCCTCACGAGGGTTACTAACCCTCGTAACCCTCAAAAGGGTTACCTTCACGAGGGTTACCCTCACGAGGGTTACTAACCCTCGTAACCCTCGTGAGGGTTACAAGGGTAAGTAACCCTCGCGAGGGTTAGTTACCCTTGTAACCCTCACGAGGGTTACAAGGGTGACTAACCCTTGTAACCCTCGTAACCCTCGTGAGGGTTACGAGGGTTACGAGGGTTAGTTACCCTCGTGGCCCTCGTGAGGGTAACCCTCATGAGATTAACCCTCGTAACCCTCGTAACCCTCACGAGGGTTACGAGGGTTGCGGTTACGCCGACGGCGACGGCGACGCCGACGCCGACGGCGACGCCGCTCAAGCCGGGAACAGGCCCCTAAGAGCTGCGCTCTAAAATAAAGCTTAGTTTGAGGAAAGTCTTTATTTCACCAGACTAGTACACTTCTCTCTCAAGTGTGTCATGCATTTTGAAAGAAATGAGCGACTTTTGCCTGGTGCAGCCTTTTAACGGTGTCGCGGGTTGCGGACGTACGTTGCGAGCGTTCAGGATTGCTAACCCTAATCACTTCTCTCCGGCGATGAAAACGCGTGAAAATTCGCATCCTTTATACGGTACGCGCCAGTAATACCTTCAACTTGAGCACAGTCATGAAATGCTCCAAATAAGAAATCCGGGCGATGTTCGAAAACACAAATGCTTAGAAAGCACCACTGTAGTCGAAGTAAACAAACACGATGACACGGGCGTTTCTGCTGTCTTGAGAGTGCCGCCATGACATCGCCGCACGAGTAGGTGGATCTTCCCTTCTAGTACGTGCTGGGTTATCATAGCGACGCTCGACGAAAATTCACAGTCAAGGATAGCGCTTTTACGCAGAACGATAAGCTTCCACCACGCCGTCTACGTCGACGATCACAACCAACGCCATGCTTGCGGATAGAAGAAGTCGCCCCGCGACCGGCATGCAACGCGCGCGAACACTTCTCGACCTGCGATTGGTCTGTCGTTGCGGTTTCCAACGCAGCGGAGTGACGCACGCACGTGAACAACATGTGCGTGCGTCCCTCCATCGCTATGGCAACTGAAGCTTCTCTCTTCGCTTCTCCCCGCTTCTTCGAGCAACCTCCTTGCACCGCGAGTTCCGCTTGCGGCTAGCGCCGTCCGCCGTTATTTTGCTTATCTAGTGTCGCACAGAGAAGCGTGCTCGCTGCGCCGGTTGGCGCGGTCGGCGGGCTGTTTCAGAAACCGCATTATAACCGGTATTTCCATTCGCGCGCCTGCATTTTAAGCGGTATGTAATTACATGGAGTTCTATGGGAGGCGAACCGGTGGTTTAAAAAAGCCGCGTTATACCCGGTGCTGCACTATAACCGGTTACGTTGTAAGTGGTCTATACTGTACTTCTCCAGCTTAGCTGAACTTTGGTCGTGGCTGAGTTGTGCTCTCATGCATTTCTTTAGTAAAAGAATGGCATCTTTATTAATAACTCAGATGGGTTTATTTTTTATATGGGTGTCGTGGAATACAAATTTTTAAACGTTTCGTAAGCCTCGAATGAACTAGTAACCCCTGCAACGACTTTTTGACTGATTTTTAATTTGCACCGAACCTGAGCGCACTGAGTGTAGTAACTTAATGAAACTTTTCTTTTCTCAAATTTTGCTTTATTTTAAAAGTTATAGGCAAATTAAAATTTACAAAAACAAGCAAAAAATAACTTCCTTCATGACGTCCTTGGTCGTGGCTTGAGTGACCGTGAACTGAAGGAGGGATAGTGAGCTCAGCGAGCACTCATGGCTGCCGCACTCCGTGTCGACGGCTCGAGAATACCATAAAGCATATGCTGGATAGGCTGTATAAAACGGGTGTTCAGGGCGGCTCGCATTGCATTTGCTGCGCGATTAAACACTAATTCGGCATGGCACTTAATCGGCCACGAACGACAGCAAACACGGGGTAAAGGTCAGTTCAAAATGGGAGCCACTTCGCGCTGCCATATCGCCAAACGGCCAAACCACAAGCCAAACCTGCTCGCCGAAGGCCTTTGGAATGCTTGGGGCCGGTCGGATCCTCAAGCCCGTATATGACCACAGCGAATCCACATACATCCAAGACCTTTCTACGCTCGCCGCTCGTCGGTGGCTGATCCCACTACCCCTTTCTAATATGCGCCACCTTTTCCACCACTTGGTGGCGGGTATGTCGACAGGTCATTTCTTGTTTCTGTACTTTATAAACTGCATTTGTTTGTTTTCTGATAAAAAATACTTAACAAAAACTGCTTTCATAAGTAATTGAAATGGGTCACGCCACTTATATTTTTTATTTCGACTAAAAAGAAGCGTTTAGCAGCTCTGACCAGTAGTAAGGCCAGGACCAAAGACTTCACATATCGCACGCTATCGGCACCGTGTGTCGCCCCCGTAGGTGGAGGAGGTTTCCACGTCGTCCGGTTAAAAAATATGACGCTCTGATATTTAGTTACTCTCTCCGTCTCTTGTGGTTCGGGCTTGCCCGAACCACAAGAGACGTGGAAGTTGCAAAAAAGACGCTTAAAAGACACTTCAATATGATTGCAGGGCCCCTTTTAGGGGGTACACTATCTAAAAAGGTCAACTTTTGAACCTTTAGCTTAATATGGATTAAATTTACTGCATATATTGGCAGTTGTGAGAGAAAATGCAGTGCAAAGTTTAATTTGTGTATACATGATTTGTGAAATAAATTATATCATAGTTGTTTTTATTTGGAGCACACTGACATTGTTTAGCAAAACTATCGTAAAAAAACTAATGTAATACCCAACATTTTTCTTCGCTAGATATGCAGCAGAATGCCGGGAGAGTGCAACTATGAAAACAAAATTTCAAGGAAGTAATTTCTTTTATGCTAACATTGTGCTGAAAGACCAAATAAATTTTTTACCTTTTATGTTGACAAAATTTAACATCTATTGTAAAATACACTCTGAAACTAATAAAAAAAATGACACAGTTGCATTGCTTACCAAATTCCAGTTAGCAAAGACAATTAGGAAGCTTTTCTTTTTGTCCCTTTACCAAACAGTAGTTTTCCTACAGTAAAATTTATGCCAAAAACTAAAAGTGAAATGGAGAGAAATGCTTTCGAAGTGCTCTAGCTTCTACGTTTTCTCTAGCATCGGTGGATCGAAAATAAGTTATAAAAAAATAACAATGCAGTTTAAACAAATCAAAATTTCTGGGAATGCTCTAGAGTCGAGATGTTGGTGGGTGTAAATATTGCATTTTTCAAAATTACCTTTTTTGGCAGAACTTTTTCTGGTCTAATAAACTGCTCCTATTCTGCAAGAATTGTTCATCAAGGGACATATTTTTCTTGCTTGCAGCTTCATCTTTGCATACCAGCAGCTCTACCCGGTGGAAGAAGACATTGGAATGTTTGAACAGTTCAATTTCTTTGTGTATCCTTTTGTTCTTGTTTGGCCCACCAAAGCTTTATTTGCTCGTTTTATGTTGGTAAAGATCTTAGAAAGTGCGCATGGCGTTAGCGAAAAGAATAAACGGGTATTTTAGTGATTAGTATATTCTCTTTTATTCTGCTTTTATCTGTTAGATCACTACAAATGTTTTCAAAGGAATCCGGTCAGAAGTAGACTAATTTACTCACAGTGCTTATAGTGTTCAAAACTGCAGTCTCACCACACTATGACAAAAAAAAAACACCTTCTCTGGTCTCTTTCATTAGTGCAAATGTGGCGAGGTTAACTACATCATTGTACTCACCTCACTTGATGTTAGGGGTTTTTTTGGTAGCATTTAGCAATGTTCCATGTTCTTGTTTGCCAATCCTAAAGAGCATGCTTGAAAGGGCAAAGAGCAAGACTTTTGATGATGTTCTTAGAATCTGCCTGGTAATGAAGTGTGCACCAGCGATAGACAAATCAGAAGGAGCCATAGTATAAACTATTATCTCTGTCTCTTTATCCGGCCTTTTTTTTTCTGTGATTTTTGGGAGATTATAAGAAATGCTGGGGAAAAACTGGCCCGCATTTACAACAGAAAATGCCGATCCACTTTTGTTGCTTGCCGTTAGTGACCTCCGCTAGTCGCACGCCTGGTACCTTGTGACAGATTATGTTTTGAACGCCTCGTGCTGGTCATTTTTCAAATGTGAGCATGCCGATTCCTTGACCGAGTTCATTCCAGGGACAACACGAGAGTGTTGTATGTCCTCCAAAGCATATGCATGGTGTACGTGGGACTGGGCTGCACGCCTCCGACGAACCTCTCCACTGCACAGGTGGGCATACCTGGGACCGTGACTTCTGGTTGGCAGGGCTCACAGGCATTACTGCAGGTCCTGAACGTAACACGTCGCAGTTAGGTGGTTGCTTGCATGAGGCATTGGCTCTCAGACAAAGGCCTGCAGACATCCACGAAAGCATTTTAAAGCAATAGCTATAGTTGGGAACCCCCGCGTTCGCGGTTGACTGACCGCTTGATGTGACATCAATTTCCCCTTTATATATTTAGTGGGGAAATCATTGTGGTGTCGCACGATGTTGCATGACATGGTCGCTCGTTAATACTCGACGAAGCGCCGTTGCACCTTCGTTGCGTTTGATGGAATGCCTAGGCCAAGCGGTCTTTTTGTGGTCCACGAAACCTCGCTCGTCAATCTTTCGATAGATGTGGCAGCGCGCTGTGCTTCTGCAGGACCTGGCCACGAAACCGAAGGCAGAGAAAACGATACCTTCCTTCCACAACGCCAGCAACAACAACGCTGGCAGCGGCGGCAGAGAGGAAGGAGCTTGCGGAGGCGGACCGTCAACTTCATCGGCGGCTGCGGACCAGAGTTCCCAAGTGCAGAGCCTCGGGGAGCTTTTCCCAGATATGCCTTCGGAGTTCCTTCAGGTACAATTTTTTGGATTCTTTGCCGTTCAGTTTTTAGAATCATTTTATGTCAAGTTTCTACGTAGCTAGAAAACAATTTACAGTAGACTCGTTAATTCAAACTCCAGGAAGCCACAAATTTTGTTTGAATTATCAGAAGTTTGAATGATCAAATTCATCTCAATATGATGCTAGATAAAGTTATGATTTGCCATATGAACGGCTACTTTTACAAAGCAGATATTTGATGATTTCCTTTACATAGGGCTACTGTTCATAAGCAGATGTGCCACACATGAAACATTTATGAAATGTATGGTGTGAGTTTATTTATCTCTAAAAAATGTTTATTGTGGACTGTTTAGACAGCACATGACATCACGGAACAAAATTAAGCTTGTTCCTCAGGCCAAGAAGTTGTCTACATGAGTAATGAAAACAGGAATCACGTGGCAATTTTTATAACAACTTGCGCGTAGTGCCAGTTTTCATAGCTCATGTGCGTTCTGCTTGAGCTCCGTTGAGTGTGCTAATCACCGAGCAGTTGTGCTCTGCGGAGAAGCAGCACCCACGGAAACAAGCTCTGCGGATGTTGCTTCTCTGCAGTCCACTAATGCTCGGGAAGAAGTGCACTCAACGGGGCTGCAAGGACAAAAAGTATGAATTACACGAAAACGCCGTTCGAATTAAGCGGCTCATGAATACATTAAAAACATAGAGGGACAGCCAAAATTTGGAAATTCGTTTGAATTATTGCGAACCAACTGTAGTCTAACTTAGGCGCCTTTAGGAGAGTCGAATGTAAAAAATCATCCACTCAACTTTAACATTGGCATTCTAATAGTGTGAATTTTAATATTGACTGGACATTTTGGGTATAGTAGTTTTCCTACACTCTATCTCGCTAGTTGCTCACCATGCTACTATAGGAACAAAGATGCTAGCAGTTGGGAGAAGAGGGAATGAAGGAACTCCCCTCTTAACCTGACCCTCTTTTGTGTACCCTGTGTTGCTTTTCTCCCCTTCGGAGATTAGGACGTCGCTCGAAATTCGTATGAAAGTGGCTTTCCTCCTTCTCCCACCTGTAGCTTCCAAAGCACCATATGCAACTATAGTCGGTGACAGGTCAAGAACGAAGTGGAAGCTCCTCCCACCTCTTTCCACTTTAGCAGAGCAATCGCCGAAGAGGAGGCGATCTCTTCTCCACCGTTCGCTCTGCGAATGTGGAAAGAAGTGGGAGGGGCTTTCATTCTTGACCTGTCACCAACTATAGTGAGAGAGTATAGTTCCACCTGCAGCTTAGTAGCATACATTAGAGCACTGTATGGGCCTACCTTTTACGGCCCGGGCCCGTTGGCCCTGAGTCTTGCCCAACTGGGTCCGTCCCGGCTGGAGGTTCCTCGATAGTGGGAGATAACGCACGTCTGGGGTGGGACCCGAGAACAACGTGTACTACCTGGCCCGGCCTGGCCTGGGCCCGTGGCAGAGCTCTACTCCACCTGGCCCATGATTCTGCTGAAAGTGTTCTCTTGCAATTTGCCCATACCCTTTAACCCGCTTCACTGCAAAGGGTAATTACAGTCGCTGATCAATTTTCAGACTTCACAGGGACCGAAGAAACATTTAAATAATAGAGCGGTCTGAAAAATAAGCGGATTAATTAAAAGAATCGCTTTTATTATGCTGAGCGGGCTTAAGAAAGACGTCAATATTGTTTTGCTTCAGGTTATGCCTCCGCTTGCATTCGGGCACTTTCTCTTAGCTCAAGAATCGCTGCCTTCTTCTCTAGCATTGTGGCCAAGTACCTTTCGCGCTTTTGAGCAACACTTTGCGGCACGTGTAGAACAGTTAGGGTCACGACATCCGAGCCAGCATAGTTCGAAAATATGATTCACCGAGACTAGATGAGGGGCGCAAGTCCACAGCTGCAGATAGGTGAATGAACAAAGCAAAATCGTAACAGTGATAATAATGACACGCAGCTAGAGATAAAAAAAAAAGCCATAATATAGCGTCACCTAGCGTTAGGCCTTAGCAGTACTCAGGTGGCGCTGCCAAACCAAGCCAATCCTGGTTTACAGGACAGAGATAACATCTTCGCGCGAAGATACCATCTGTAAAGAATGCATTTGTATGGAGAATTGTGTTCTTTATTTGATTATTCGCTATGTTATTTATGCGCAACGCGATGATTGGCTGTATATGTGTTCTGCGGGAAAGTAGGCGCAAGGGCCTTGTTCATAAATAGTGCGGCTATTAGTCGAGGGAATACGGTATTTGTATCGGGTAGATCACGGTTCCTCGTTTTTCTGGCCTAAATATCAAACAAGTCCCGAATTATCGGCTCCAAAAAATTGGTCGGCGACTGTATAATATTTGCCAGTCTACAAAAACTAAGTTTGAGTAAGTATCTCTGGGAACGAAAGGTGCTATTGTGCATGCCCTTGATCAGTGGGACATCTTTACAAAGATATGAGCTCATGCCGACAACCTTGGTAGAAGTGCAATGAGAGCGTACAACCATGGATGAACCAGGCTTGTGTAGAGCACTGACCACATTTGATTAAATCGTATGTTTAGGTTTAAACTTAGTTTGCTCGGTATTCTTTTTTTGCATATATAAATGTGTTTGTTCCTCTCTGCAGCAATGCCTCGAGTACTACAACAACTATGAGGAAGTGGTTATGGCACTCCTAGACAACAACCTTCCTCCAAGCCTCTGTCAGCCAGAACCTTCAAGCTCACGGTAAGTCAAGTGATGAATGTTCCTCTGGGTTTTTTATGTTTTTTTATTTTGTTTTGTTTTCTATGCGAAGCACTAGTAAATTGTGGTGTTGCGGAGGGTTCTCGTGTTTTTGTCCAAATTTGCACGTGCAAAATTACTAGTTCCAGTGACATGCGAGTTCGTAGCAAGATCCTGCGTTTTGTTTTGCGATTTGCGCTCATGTTGTTGGTTCCAATGGCTTACAAGTTTTTTTAGCCAGTTTCTATGTGCTTATCGCAACATGAAACACAAATTTGTTGCATGCACAATCTGCTGTATCCTTTCCCCGTTACGAAGGAGTTTGTAGCGAATTCCCGCGTGTTTATTGCGTTGTTAAACATGAATTTGCTGTGTCAGTGATCTGCGGTGCCGGTTCCTGTGTCCGGTATCCCTGTGTTTATTAATTTTTATAAAGCTTTGCTGCCTCATCCCCTAAGATAGCCCACCTCATGTTTTTTTACCATTTATATGTCTTCATTTTGTGTGGGCACCCTTATGAAATTTTACATTAATTTGTTTTCTGTTTTTTTTTCTGTGTTGCATTTCTGATTTGGAAACAATCCTAACTGAATCAGGTTCTACAGAGTGAAACAAAGAGACGCCAGGCTCTTTAAATCGACCGGAAAATTCGGTTTCTTAACCTATCGAGCTACGACTTTGTGCAGCGTTGCCCACAGATGGTGCATTTTTTTCTGTAAAATTTGCAAAGAGCGAACTTACCTGAGGAAAAAGTAAAGAAAGAAAAAGGCTTAGCTCCTATGGAAAGGCAGCGACGCCACCGGTCTTCAAACAACACGGCGCCGTTTCGCACAGGAGACAAGAGATGGCGCAAGCGGTCGCGACGCCAACTGCCGCCAACGAACGAGCATACGACGCCGAGAGCCGGCGTCTTTAGCAGACAAGGAACTGCAGTTCCTTGTTGTTACCGCGCCTGTTTTTGTTTCTGCGACTGTCGCCGCCTGCGGAACGCGCCGCTTTTGAGTCCAAAAAAAATTGTCCGCTAAAGACTGTCCGCTAAAGACACTGGCTCTCGGCGCCGTATGCTCGTTCGTTGGCGGCGTTCGTTGCGCAATCTCTTGTGTCCCGTGCGAAACGGCGCCGTGCTCTTTGAAGACCGGTGGCGTCGCTGCGCTTCCATAGGAGCTAAGCCTTTTTCTTTCTTTACTTTTTCCTCAAGTAAGTTCGCTCTTTGCAAATTTTACAAAAACAAAATGCACCATCTGTGGGCAACGCTGCACAAAGTCGTAGCGCGATAGGTTAAGAAACCGAATTTTCTGGTCGATTTAAAGAGCCTGGCGTCTCCTTGTTTCACCCTGTATTACATTTTATGAACTGCAGTCTTACTAGGTAGATGTTAGAAATCAAAAGTATCACAGAGGTTTCATTCAACAGGCATGACTAAGTACTAATATATCTGTGTCAGTCGTTATCGAAACATTCTCCCAAATAAGAAAGTCAGTGATTATCTTCATGATCTCCGTTAACGTCCTTTTAAACCTTTCTCAATGTTCGAAGCCCTAAAAAACATTTTTCTCTCTTTCTCCATTTTTAAAAACCTTTCCAGGCTTGCCACGCTCGAAGCAAGGAGCATCTACGACAATGATGAGTTTGACATCCTACGGAGGGACGACGTGGATTTGTCCAGAATACACATTGGAAAGAAGTATGGTTCCTTCGACCCTTTTGAGTTTACAGTCTTGCGTTAGATCTTGTTCATCTGGAGGACCGACTGACTGTAAATAGCGACCATAAATACTTTGTAAAAGCAAGAGCTAGGAGACAGCTATTACCTACTATTTATACAAATATTGATACATCAGTTACACCACGGGTTCGAAATCGTAGCAAACTTCCCCTTTCCAAATTGTGTCCCGTAAATCTGGGTGCGGAAATATCGGTTGCTTGGTTTCAGATTTAAATCAACATTTGATCTTGCAGAGCCAAGAAAGAAAAAAAAGAGCCTTAAAGTGTGTTACTTGGGTTTCTATGGATACTTCACAAAAGTAAAGGCCCGGGGGCCGCTTCTATGCTCCGTTTCGCCTTACGATAGACTGCAACAGTTGCTACGAGCCGTCCTATTCTCAATCCAGTGCTGTGGGCTTATCACGTGACTCCCCGCCCCATATGTCACTGCTCCCTTCCGGAAAGTCACGTGATGCTCCCACGGCATTAAACTGGCTCCGATGGCTCGTGGTGTTCGCCATGATCTATTGCAAGGTAAAACAAAGTATATATACCGTTGAGACTGGTTATAGCGAAGTTGGTTATAATGAAATAGCGGCTACAGCAAAGCGATCACAATTTCCCGTTCCCGTTTGCACTTTTTCAATGCATCTGTGTCTGTTTCTAGCGAAGGAAATCGAGCGGCTCCTGTGGATATAGCAAAAATAAATTTTGTGATAATTTTAAAAAAATAATAAAATTCGGAAAGTTTATTGAGTCTCGGACCGCCACACTTTGCTGCCGCCGCCAAGGAGCCACTCAGAACAGGCTGCAGAAGATGCTGGAAAGGCTGCCGGCGGCAGTCTCTGCAACGTCGTCTGCTTTCTGTTCCTTATCTGGGAAGTGGCTTTACCGCATCGCACGCGAAGAAGCCGTCTTGGCATGTTGATAGGGGCATTCGGAGCACTAGCAACAACGTACCGGCGGAGATGACGGAGAGAGCCTAGATTTAAGAGAAGGAGCGTGGCCAGTGTGGCGAGGAAACTGGGCGGAGAGGTGGACACGTTAGCAGAAGGTGAACGCTTTTGAGTTTTGACCCCTTGCATGCTGCAGCTCGTTTTGCAAACGCGGTCGACAAACCACGTGACCCCGATCGAGCAGTTGCCCCATCTCTTAAATCTAGGCTTTTTATACTGATGACAGACAAGCTTGAGCACGAACTCGGTGCCGTGTATGCTTCTTTATTTGCTTCGTGATCCGTGGCGGCGTTGCTCAAGCACCGATTCGGTGAATCATTGCCACTCAACGATGTAGAGTCCCGGCACCCTCGGCACCTCGACGGGGAAGAGGAAGGCAAGCTCCTTGCATCAAAAGTGTGCCATCCACGACGGAGTGCTCATAAGCGTAAAAAATGCCATCCACTGCCGGCGTCCTCCTTGGGGCCATCGCAGCTGTCGACACAATCTGTACATAGCAGGATCTTTTTTCGGTGGGCTTCTCGCAGTTGGCAAAAAGCGGCTCCGATCTAGCAGCAAACGCATGCAGGGAAGCCTTGGCCGCTTTCTGCAGGCCCGATAAACATGTGCCCGTGACAACCTGTGTTACCTTTTTTTTTTTTAATGTTATTTGTATGAGTCCAAGTATAACGAAGAAGCGGATATAGCGAAGCGATTTCCGATTCCCGTTGACTTATTGTTATAACTGGTCTCGACAGTAATAACATACAAATATCAATACCTGTGTTTCACTATGGCCACATAATAGTAATACTGAGTATCCCTTCCCCAAAATGTATCCTGTGAATCTGGGCCTAAAGTATGCAGCGCGCCACTTCGGCTGCTTCTTTTGAGTCGTGGCGGTGACGTCAAAATGCCAAACTCTGATTGGCTCTGATTGAAGGATGGTGGGTAGACCTCAAGGCAGCTTGCAATGAGTTATACCCCCTGTCCTTCAATCGGAGCCAATCAGAGCTCGGCCTTCTGATGTCATCACAACCCCTGCAGAAGAAGCAGATAAACTTACGCTGACATTAGGCAGGTAGCAGCTGTTTGGTATCTAATCTTAAACGAACATCCCTCAAAATTGCGGGCCTAAGAAGACGACAGACCTTAAAGTGCGTTGCTTGTTTTTGTCCAGGAGCAAGACGCCAAAGTCCCTGGACGAAAAGGGCCACGACAGAGTACTGAAGGAAGTCTACGAGAAGTACAGCATGATTCACGAGGACGTTGCAGAAGACACGTACGAGGACGAGTATGACGACACGTACGATTCCAACGACGTCGGTCTCGAGGAGCCGGCCCGTGGGGACGAACTGACGACGCGAAGGTAGGCTCCTTCGAGGTGCAATTACGAACCCAGTTGTCACTGAAAGTGGGGTGGGCGTTCCCCCATTATTTTACGGTACTACCTCTGTTTGTCGTCTGTTGGCACAAGTCGAGCGAAAGAGCCGTAATCACCCGTAGCTTTTGGGGGAAAAAGTTTTGATGGGCGTACGGGAATTTCAAGACACCATATATATTACGGGTTTAGCCGCCGCACTAACGGGGCTAGGTGATGATACTAGAGGTGCGACAGCGGCAGAAATTTGTTCCTGAAGGATCACTATGGTGACGGGATAGCCAACTGCATCTACATATACTCTGTTATAGCAGAAGCTACTGGAGCGGGTTTCGGGCATTCGGAGCCCGCGGTGCAAGCACCGTTCGGGACAACCAGCTTGTCCGTGTAGTTTCGGCTTCGCTCGCATTTGAAGTGAAACGGACTGGAGCGGCTGTTTTACCAGTTTTATTGCTTCATTTGTTTGAGTATTATGATTCATGGTTGGGCCATAGTTTTGGGATGTGTATGTAGGCGTGTATTACGGAGCGTGTACAGAAAAGCAGTTCAAGAGTGGTGCCTAGCGCAAGCCTTGTCCATCCAAGAAATTTCCCTTTGAAAGTATCACGAAGGGCCAGGAGGACCAGACAACTGCCAACTCTCGTCCAAGTACATCCTGCATTTCTTGGTGTAGTCTGTTGTCGTGGAAACTGAGTCAACTTGAACCATCTCCGTCCTAACAAGCTGTCCCATCGCAAGGAAAGTTACTGTGGCTGCTAAATCTGCCGTATAGCGCAGTAACTAGGTAAATGTGGGCGTTGCCCCAAGCTGCTGTTCAGAAATTTAGGCGTGTCTGTGGTTTGTCTCGTGTTTAATGCGATTGCATGCGCCGCATCTCTCAAACGTTTTCTTCTGTTCAACTGGACCCTTCCCAGGCCCTTCACCGTACCTCGTGTCTTGGAACCAAAGCAGGGGCGGAGGAATGGAGACAGCCGCTATGACGATGGCGGAGGAGCCTTCGAAGAGGTATGTTAGAGTTATAAAAAGATGTTTTCTTGCCTTCCCGTTAAAAAAAACAAGGTCTCACCATTTTATGAATTCAAGTCACAGGATCTCTCATTCCCTTCATCACTTTTTTTGGGGCGAGTTTTATTAGAATACCGTATTTAGTCACATAATGAACACACTTTCTTTTCCCAAACAATTGGCACATATTTGGGGGGTTCATTACGCAGGGTAAAATTTTTGCATTTACACACTTCGTGCAAATGTCATATTAGGTGCCAATATGACACGGCAAGGTACTGTGGCACGTCTCCACTGATGGAGACACACCCAGTAATCATGCTTTATAAATTGCGAACCTTTTCAGTGCGCTTTCGGCGTGCCTTTTGCCGAAGGAAAAGCGTCCTACGAAGCTCACTTAGCACAGAGAGCAGTGGGGCCATTCTTAGGCCTAACCACTTTCATGATTTCACCGTCCAAAAGCGGACCACAGCTGACGGCGTGTTTGTTGACATCAATGTATCTGATGGACGAAGCACGTCCGGGGCTGGGCAATTCCTCGACCCCAGCTTCGCTAGGCGTGTGCGCCGCTTGGTTTCACTGTTGATCACCTTTGCAACTATGCACTTGGGGCTGCTTGCAGTCATTTCGAGAGCAGCTTGGCTTGGCTTGATTTGGCCTGACTGCTTGACGGCAAAAGAAAGTTGGCTTGGTGGCTAGCTAAATTAGATGCAATTCGAGACTCGGGGAGCCGAAAATTGGAGGGGCGTTCATTACGCGAGGGAAACAAAAAGTAAAAATATTGATATCGGTCGCGGGGGTACATTCATTATGCAAGTGCGTTTATTATGCGAGTAAATACGGTATCTCCAACTCTTCAGCTTTCTTGGAAAGAAAGTCAATTCTGGACCTGACCCAAGAATTTCATGCAAGGAGTAGGAAACATTAGCATAAAGAAACAGGCAGGGTGGAAGTGGGCCTGTACCAGCCGGCAGAACCGAGTTTGTTGACGGACAAACCAGAATTAATACTACATCTCATTTATGCTAGGGTCTCGATGATACTAATCACGCTTTTCTCAATCAATCATGAATTCAATCATGAAAATCTCAATCAATCATGAAAAAAAATTTTTATCATCCCGAACATTGATCAACCTCGGTGGTATCATCAATGTTTTACTGTGCTGGGAAGCGAGTGCGTAGATACGAAAACGTGCTCAAACTCCAGTTTTCTAGGCTTATGAATAGTTTCAAGCGGCAATTGTACAGAAATGTTCGGTACCATTTTTGTATCGCGTCTTCTCAGGTAATTTAACGTCGACTACGAACGATGTCCACTTTCATGCAAGAAACTCTGTAGGTGGCATCGATTCTAGAATTCGTCCTGCCCAATTCCGGGCAAGCGAAATGCCACGCTTAATGTCGAAGTGAAGAGAGAACACATTCGCACGAGTATGTCATGTCTACCTCGTCATTTGCTAGGTTCCTTCCTCAGGTTGCTGACGGCTTTCTCTTGTGGATTGCAGGAAGAAGAGTGGCAGCCTCCGAGGGACCAGTTTGTGGCCAACCCGGCGGAGATCCGCGAGCGGCGCGAGCAGAGGCATCGGGAAATGATGGAGAGGAAAGGGGGACCTCCCAGGCAACGAAATGTTAGAGGTGGGCTGCCTGCTGTTATTCGCTTTCCCGTCGTTTTAATTGAGACCGTACTCGGTTTCTTTACGGGTGCGAGCGTAACGGAAGCTGCAAACCCGAGTTCCAGGCTTCCGACGTCCCTGCCCATCACACACGCTCGTGCAGTGCAAGCGTCTTTTGGGGGAACGTGCTTGTAGCTTTGGCTTTGCTCGCGCTTCGAGTGAAGCGAACTGTAGCAAACCAACAGATTTGGGGGCTCTTCGCCGAGATCTCGCTGTCACACGCACGGGGACCAGTACCGGACCCCCTGAACCTCGCTTTTGGCTTCTACTCTGTCCCAACTATGGAAGGTCCCTTGGGCAATGGGCCAGTCTCACTAACCGTCCCACTTGTGCATGAGTGAGGCCGCCATAACTTTAATCTGCAAGGGACCGGCTGCGGTGCACTGTCTCACACTCTGCTCGCTTAGATCTGCAGTGGGGTTGACACACATGCGGGACTGCAGTTCCCACGACTCATGCAGGCGGCGGCAGCGTTACAAAACTAGTTTCGGGGTAGTGGGTGATTTCACATTGAGAAGTGCTAATGAACAGACTTACTTCATTTATTTTCGGAAAAGTTCAATATTTTTGGTGCAGTCTCGCTTTAGGCATGATCACAAAACAATATTAAGCTTTAGCTGCTGCAGGCAACATTGGCCTCATGTTGTCAATGCCAGGGCACAGCCGCGTGCTATGGAGAGTCATGCGATAGAACACAGTTGATGTGTCGTCTGCCTTACTGCACACGCTGCATCCACCGACATCTGCATTACTCTGGCCCGCGCATGTGTGGTTCAGAAACGCAGCCAAGTTTGTAAGCAAGATGTTATCGGGACAGATCAGACGTGCACTATGTCAGGATGAACTTACAGCAGACAACTGTTCTGGCATGTTCACAACGCTGTGTGTGTGCCACGATCCACTGCCGATCACACTGTTTTCTCAATAACAAAGATTACGTGATGTTGCCCCTTAAATTCCTTAAGGCTGTAGCAGGAGTGCTTGACATCTGATCTTCGTGTGATGATTTGGCACGGCTGTCTTGCCTTACAAAGGTTATCACAAACTATATTCTGCCTCTTTGCACCCACTGTAGAGCAGACAGCTGCAGTCTCATGTCAGATCAGGCCTGTTATGTTAAGCCTTCCTAGTCTTCAAACTAGAGGTAGGCTCGACAATTCAACGAAGTAAAAATGTCTGCAACATAGCAGCGGGGTTATGCAGCATGCTCTACTTAACTTCTTGTGCCTATAGTAAAAAAAAAAAAAAAAAAAAACAGTTTCTCTCAACAGAAAGGCTGTTAGGTGTTTAACCCTTTAAGTGCCACTTTTTTTTTTTTTTTTTAAAGCAACCTAAAAAGGCCATATATATTTTTTTAAGTTTTAGTCCTCTAGTATATAACAAATAAAATTTTAAAAGTTTATTTTGCCAAAATCAGCGGCGGCAAAAAGAAAAAAGGCGCCAATTCAAAACGAGTGCTGCTATCTATGAGCAGCACCGCTAACTACTCAGACGAGCCTAGTTCGTCCGAGGTATCAAGGGCTACCGGAAAACCACTAGACGAGCCGAGCTTGTCCATGGCATTTTTAACCAAAAAGCGGCCGACAAGCTAAGCTCGTCCAAGGCTCTTAAAGGGTCAAGTCTCATTGCAAAACGCCATTCCTGACAGTGTCAAATTCTGTCTATCCTGGTGTGCTGGAGTCTGGTTGACTTCTCTGTAAATTTGTTTGGAAGAGAGTAAAGGCAAAGTTTCTCATCCCCCCAATCCGAGCCCGCCGGATTGTGTCCAAAGATTTACAGAAAACTAATCCGCAGACTCTTTCCAATTAAAGCTTGTAACCGAATCCCCGTAAATATTTCAAAGCATATCAGTTCTTGTATAATTGAAACAGAAAACCCTGTGGCAAAGGTTCTGAAACTTTTCAATCTCGATGACCCCTGTCCGCCATGAATGGCACCCAAAGAACCACTCCTGGTCTTGGCATCGATGTAATAAAGCAGCACAGAAACTTACACCTTGTAAGTAATGACTAGGATTCCATGTTTTCGGAGTTCATTTTTCTTTAAATTCAAACGGGGGTTTTCTGAGTTCATTTTTCACTGAAGATTTAAAGTTTATTGGAGTTTATATTTTTATATTCCCAATGCTCCAAAATAGATTTTACTGTTTCCAATATTTTGGTATTTAAAAGAAGAGTAAATAATATCTGGACACAAACATGCACTAAATTTATAAGAACTCACCTGTATTGAATGGTACCTTTGAAGCTGCATTTAGCAAGTCCCTTACCATCGTCAGCACCACTAACTGCCCCACGACAACTCTCGCAAAGGAGTGTTGTTGCAGATAATGTCGACACTTAGAAATTAACTAAACACCTGGACGTAGTCGCTGGGAAGCAGGAAGCTCCAACTGCTCTGCCCCTCCTATAAAATCTACAGGTTCATAGCAGAAAATCATAGCTCTCACTGTTACAAAAATACAACTAGTACTTCTACCTCAAAGCACCAATATCGTAATACTCCAAAAGATGCCCCCCCCGAAAGATTCTAACTCATCCCTATTTTTGGCATGATTTGCTATTCTTTCAGTAACACCAAAAGAGAGCCCACTTCTAGTAATTGCAGGGCCCTGGCCAGTGGTGAACTCAGCGGAAATGGTGTTACTTAGCTGCGGCGGGAGATTAGCAGACATTGTTGCCTGAAGAGGACAGTAATCTTTAGTTCATCACTCCTTGCTGTAATCACAAGTTTCGCAGGTCACAGAATCTAAAACTAGCATTCTTTTAGCTTTCTTTTACTGCACACCGAAATTTAGCCACCTCCTTCTTTTCACTCGATTTGCTTTCAGTTTTATGGGGGGTATCTCAGGGTATTACGGTAGTAGTATGGCTTCGAGCTGGAAACCTGAACGGTGGCTTTTGTAGTGATCCAGAAGTACAATGAACTGTTGCTCCGAACAAACCTTGATGAGATAAACAATGAACTCCCTTTTGTGAATAGTCCAATATTTCAAAGGAAACTGAAGTGGCCTCTCCTCAGCACCACTGTCCCTGTGCTTTTAATCGATCGATTCGTAAAATACTTAATATTGCTTTTTATTTTTTTATTGTTACTCCGAAATTCAGTTTTTCGGATATATCCGAATTGACGAAAATATTACAGCCTATAGTCAGTTACAGGTTAAGAAGGTAGCGGCAAATGCCCCTCAAAGGGAATCAGATATCGCTCCGCCACCTCCGCATCCAATAGCGTCCCACCGTTTCCGTGACGTCGCGGCCAACGCGCGAGGAGGGTCTTGCCTTTTTGTAGATATCTGCTTTATCTTTCGACTCTGACTTAGCATCGTGGAAGGCACGAGAGGGAGATTAGAGTTCTCCCCCACCGACGGAAACAAATACGACTTTCGGGGATTAGCTTCCCCCCCGATGGATACAAAGGCTGCTTTCAGGGGCTCGGTTCCCTCTCCGATGAATACAAAGGTCGCTTTCTTAAAAAGTGGGATCGGAGACGAGTTGCAATCCATTGAAGCGGAACAAGGAGCGTTTCCAGTGAACTCTTCTTTCGACTGCGGAGAGATTTGAAACGGGCGCATCACACTTGTGGGAGGAGCTTCTCCTACCTTCTTGACTTGTAACCGACTATAGTGTTTTTCGGAGTTCTTCGGATTTAAACGGAAACACGGAACCCTTGTAATAATGCACATGCTAAAAGCATTCGGCTCATAGTTATGCATTAATCGATGACTCAGATCCACTAAAATGGTGCTTGAACTGGGAAAAAGTAGTTTTACTTAGGGGCAAGGACAGTCGAGGACATTTGAGAGCTCTGGAAAGCTTTGAGTGGTGCTGTGGGTAACTCTGGGTTCCTCAGAGTACCCTCAGGGGCTCCCCGAGCTCATACAATTTCTTAACCGTAGGGACGGTCAAGGAAATGTCCCTAGCCCTAAGTGGGTGTCCAGATTAGGCACTATCTGAGCAGATCTGAGCCATCCATTGATGTATAAACGTGGGTCAAACATTCCCAGTGTGCGTTATTCTGTACATGGTTTGTGGGCTTCTGCGCTGCTTCAATGCGTCAATGGATGCATAAGAGCCCCTGGTGTAGGGCACGAGACACCGTGTTTTCAAGTGGTTGGAGAACAGCAATAAACCTTGGGCCACATTGTCTGTGTCGTAAAGGTGGCCCCCGCGGACGAGGCCAGTCAAGGGACGTGTTGCGGGACCGACAACTGAAGGAGAGGCACGGATCTGCAGGGCATAACCAGAGGGCCCAGGCAGACCACAAGCGCAGCAGAGGAATGTACTCTTAGCGTCCGCACTCCTTCACCCTCTCCCCGTGTAGGTCTATAGGCCCGACAACCGTCGGGTGCGGTGCAACGACGATCCCCAAACGGACGGTGTTGGAACTCTACCGTGTTTTTGTGGGGCGGGCTGTGCAGGGTGTGTTTTTGGAGCAGCTGGTATTTTTGTTTGGTAGAGCTCAAGATTGCGTTTGTTTGGTAGAGCTCAAGATTGCAACAAGCACCGCATTCGTGGTCTGCAACACCGAAGGTGGTTCGTGGTTGACGTGAGCGCAAAATATTTTGGTCAGGGGGTTTTCCAAGAGCTTGGTGACATTTAATTTATGTTTTGCGACGATGATATGTTAGTGGCATTTTGCAAACATGTGGAGATCTGTTTAAAAATTTATATTAATTCTATTTGGTTGTTTTACTTTTGATCCAATATTCATTGACAGGTGTGGGTCGCATTAACGTTTTATTATGCTGCTTATAAGGTAATTAATTTATCTGTCTTGACAGAGAAGAAGATAACTCGGAATGGTTTTGGTGGTACAAACTCAAGATTGAAGTTGTTCGGCGTCCTGCACTAAGGAAAAAAGACTGCAGATATTATAACGAGGTAGCGAGAATGTTTTTCAAGGGCTATTTCATCGCTCATACTGTAATTATTCTTTTTCTTTGCAAATGAATTGTCTTTCATATTTAAATCTCGCAAATATGTTGTACATACGAGAGAGTATGCTAATTATTTTCCGAATATGTGCAACCATGTACATTGTTTGGATTATCATAAAGCTATTTTTTTCCACAACCATTTCTGTGACCGACTTTTCGCTGTGAAAATATGAGTTGTCTAGAGCCACCCTATAGTGTGCTTGCTTGAGGCACAAAATAATGCAGTCCTGAAGTCTGCTATTTTTGACCCAAATTAGCACCAACATTATCAACACTGGTCACGTCCGTGCCTTGCTTGCATGTTCCTCAGAAAAAATTTTCAAGCCCTGGTTGCTAGAATTGCCATCGAAAAAACTATTTGAATAGATCTTGCTTTGAAAGAATGGTTCAACAAAAGTCATAAACCAATTTCACCCTTTTCGTTGTGGCCCAAGCAAGTCCTGCTTGCACCACAATACTGACTTATAGTGTTCTGTAAATAGAAATACTGTAATGGGGCATTGATAAAAAAAAAAGCACCCTTTAGAAATATTTGCGGGGAATAGGATATTACCCACGAAAAGTTCCCAGCGAAAAACTTTGGAGCCGGTTGAACCTGTCATAGTTCGGAACTTGCTACGCCCTACATTTTTAAGCTACCAGAGATTATGGTTTTTTAACAGACTTCAGCTCTCTCCAGAAGAAGTGCATCAAAAAGGTAAGCTCTTTGAACATGTTTTTTTTTTTTTTAATGTGAAAGCATTAACTGTCTTATGGAGCGAACCGACGTTATGAGCTATGAAGCCGCGCCAAACGGCACCTTCCCGTGTCCCAATGGAGCGAAGCCTGTCGTCTGTAGCACAAATCTGATGGATAGGCTCCCATTGGCTGGCACGCGTCATCAAGGAACGAGGCTTCCATTGGCTCTTGGGTGGCATAGTTCCCAGGGACGCCACCAGAGAAGCCCTCTCCACGGTGGCGCAGCGCACGCAGCGGCTCGACCTCCGGTAAGAGGTGTTGCGGTGCGGGCCTGGCCACACAGCCCGCTCGGGCGAACTCCGGAGAGGCGGCACAGCCAAGCTCAGCGCGGTGCGGTCACTTCATAGAGCGTGCACTCGGCCGTCCACGCCACTGCGCCGCAGAGGAGCTAAGGGAGCGGAAGAACGACATTTATGCTTTCGCATTCACAACTCGTAAGAAGTGCTTAGGTGTCCTCGGACTTTTTTTTTTTTGCACTTTAAGTTGGAGTTTGTTTTACCTTTGCAACTAGTGCCAGAGGGATGCCGTCCCAGTTAGACATTGTCACAGATTGTTGCAGTACCGGCAATTGTTCTGGTGCAATATTGCCACGAAAATTGAGCGGACAAAATAGAGGGCTGGGTAAGCGCACAGATAAGGCATGTTTTGGGCATTGTAGTGCAGGCGTTCTTTGCAATAGTGGTGACCTCTATTCGAAGAAACGTGACATTTGTTTTGAGGTGTGCTGGCAGCAAGAAATAGTCTTGTGATGCTTGCCAGTCATTAATACCAATTGTATTGTCAGTTGTTGTTTTTTTTTGACAGCAACAGTGTGTTGGGTGGAAACGTAGAAAGGGGCGGCAGGTCAGGCAAGCTTTTTCCAGTCTACAGGTTCCATGAGCCATCTTTGACTGCTGCCACCGTGACAGCGCTGCAGAGTGACACCTTGAGGTCCCCGTCGACTGGGAAGGTCCAGGCACATCCTTGAGGTCTTGTGGACAATGATCTGCGCCTAAATTCGTAATATGTGTTTAAGAGCTCGTGCTTTTTTTTTTTTTCTATTGCTGTCACTGTCGTGTTTCTTTATAAGGATCGCAAAAAGGTTTACAAGTGGTGTTCAAGCGAACTGATAATTGTTTTTGAAAAATGGTAGGTCAGGCAAAGTTGACAGATGTTTTGCTCTGGGAGTTGTTTTTTTGTATTGCACCATAATGTTAAATTTTCTTCTAGCACTGCAAGACAACTCTACCTTTTCACTATGTAGAAATAGTCTGCTATCACGAAAGTTATTGGAGCTTTTAGAAAATTCGGGAGTGCAAGTTTACATTGCCACGGTTCTTTGCTGTATATTCTCAAGTGAAGTGGGATCATCTCGCAAAGCTATCGGCTTGGGCTACTGACCTTCGTAGATTGCTGAATCACATACAGATGAACTGAACTCCTCAAAACAAGGAAAGGGTAATAAGTGAGGCTTGTCATGCTCCTTATATTTCTTTATTTATGTTCATGAATTTTAATTTTTTGTACAGAACAGAGCATCAAGTGTAGGTTATGTTGGCCGGGCGTGCCTTTGCTTAACTGTCGCTGTATGAAGTTTTATTCTGGCACAATTGGCAGACTTGTAGAATTAAACTTAAAGAAGTGATGCAGGCATTAATATCATAGTTAGCACCTCTAGCTCTATTGTGCAATGTGTGTGATTGTTTGGAAAGACAACACTGGACCATATTGCATACATCCAAACATTGTTTTGGACTTGCTACAAAAATGACATTTCCTCTGTTAAACCAAAGTTCTGATTGCATTTCTCATATCTGAGATTAAAGAAATGGGAATATAGCTGTTAAATGAGTGCTTGTGATCTTTGCCTATTGCCTATGCTTTCTTCTTGATGTGTGATGGTGTGACAACAGAGGTCTCATATTCTTACTTACCTTAGGGTCATATCTCCATTTTTGTCTTTGGAGGTCGTTGCAAGCAATCATGACAACATTGGTGTCTGCTTTTGATTCTGGGGAGTCTAGACAGATTGACTCGTCTGTCTTGATGAATCCCTCCTCGGTAAAAACAAAGTGCTGCAAAGAGGGGAGGTAGCAATGTGCTGTCTGGACAAATAGCGGTATGGTGTTAACCTCGGAATTTACATGTTTGACGTCGGTCACAAAAATCAAGTGCTTGACCAAAGGAGGTAAAACCCAAGTTTTAATTCTGCTTCTTTAGGTATTGAAATCGAAGCATTCGTCAGATTTGGCATTTAGAACTGTTCTTGCATTAACTCCTGCAAAATCTGACAGTCACATTCCCAATGTTTTGTTAACATATTCAAAGCTAGTTTGGGATTCAGAGTTACTTCTATGAATGATCAAACAGCTCTAACAATGTAGGGCTTGTTGGAAAGAATGTTTGGTCCGACAATGTGTCAATATTATATATTAGTCAGTCTGCCCAAAGGAAGATATCCTGAATATCGAAAGTTGGAAATATTCTTAGCACCTTGTTCATACACAAGCATTTAGGCAAGTTGACATCAGAAGATGTCCTTTCCCATTGTATTTCATACCTGCATTGCATAGTATGTTAATGCACATTCCTCCAGGACCACTCTCCCCACTGGCTGGTGATAATTCTTGGAGCTTGGCCTCACAAAGCATTTCCCACTCTTTTTATTTCTCACCTGCAATGATCACAATTTTCTTATAGTCTGAACGTTTTTCACTGTAATGTACACCTTGTGAATTTTACTTTTCATTAGCAAAATCATATATTTTGTCTAAAATAGGTTGACAAAGCTTTTTTTTTTTATCGTGGTCACCAATTTTTCGTTTAATGCAGAATTTTGGAGTTTGGTGGAAAATCTTATTGAAATGGTAGAATCTGTAGATTCTGTCTATGTTGTACAATCTGTTTTCCTCTTTCTGTTATGGCCAAAGGTTAAGCTTTGCTTAGTGTGTTTTCATATTAGAGTGTCTAGTTATGCCTGTATTTTTTATCATTGAGTTATGTGTTTAATTACCCGAGTGTCATGATTTGTTTATGTTAAGTGATTGAAGGCAGCATGTTTGAAGCGGCTCACCTTGCCAAAGAATCTGTTATCGTTGGGTAGAAAATTCTCTGGCCATATGTTTTTGAGGTACCACTTAAAACTCTTGCACTGAAGCTTTTCGCGAAGCTTCTTTCGGGCAGTGACATCTTGTAGCATGTGCCTCTTCTTCACATCTGTTTGGAGAAAGTTTCGATTTTTCTTAACTTGAATCTTTCCCACAACTATCCCTTCATGAGAACAAAAGAACATGTGACATTATGTTCCGCTTCTATTTGCCCGGTGGTTCTCAAACGTTTTTATCACAAGGAACACTTGTTTTTCTCGATTGACAGCTGAGGGGCATTTTTCGCGTTCTTGGCATTGATGCAATAAAGCGACAAAAAAGAGTACAGACTGTGTTAACAGTAATGCACATGATAGAGCTTGTTGGTTACATAGGGTATCTAACTATGCATCAACGACTGATCTGGTCACATTAATGTTAAGCTCGAAGACCACTGTACTTTTGGGGAAGGAACGACCAAGGACATTTGGGAGCTCAAGGAGCCCTTGAGGCCAGGTTACAGCATGGGTTCTCAGACTGGGTTCCTCCAAGTACCCTCAGATGTTCCTCAAACTCCAAAATATCTTTGACTGCCCCTCCTTCAAAGTAATGTTTTTAAGCGCTATTAAAGTGTGAAATGCCTCTTAACGGAACTAGCCCCAATCCCAATTATTTTTTCCGGTTGTCCGCGTGATTTGACGTTAAGAGACTATACAATGCTCTAGTTCCCCCGCTAAATTAGGCTGAAGAATTTACGTCACGTGACGTGATGTCACGCGACCTAAACGCCGATTGAGTTTCCCTCTAAATTTGACGGGGAAATTGACGTCACGTGACCTTATGTCAAGTAACATATGCCAATTCAGTTTCCCCGCTAAATATAGCGGGAAAAGTGACGCTACATGACCTATGCACCCCAGTTTCTTTGCTTAATGTAACGGGGAAATTGATAAAAATAAAGGTTTTTCTGCACTCAAAACCACAATTTAATATCTCCTGAATGATTCTCAACGATCGCACTTTATTTCCTAGGCAAAGGAAATAAACAGACTCGATTGAGAAAAAAATGTCATAAAACGAATTTACAAGGAAAAAAATTGCGCGAAATGAATTTGTAGTTGGCGCCCGCGGGAGCCCGCGGAAAAGTGGCCGCTAAAGTCACGTGACTGGCCGCTATAGTCACGTGGTGCTTGCGCTCTTCCGGGAGTTTTCTGTGGGCTCCAAAAGTTATCTATTAATGCGAAAGCATTTACTGTCCCATGGAGTGAAGCCGGAAAACGGCACATAAATTCCCATTGGCTGCGACGCGTCATATGGCTCCATAGCAACGGTGTCA